ATCCGCCTAGGCTCAAGAGCGCCATCACCTGGTTCAAGTGGTTCATGTTTATCACTTGATGGTCCTTTTGATGCTTTAGGAATTTCTACAAGTTCACCTTCTGGCCTCTCAGGTGGTTCTGAGGGAGCATACTCCTCAAGATCATCACCCTTTAAATCATTCTGAGGCTCAGATGGTTTCGACTTGTGTCCCTTCCAAAATGGATCAAAACCCTTGGAAGTATACCGAAACTTTGGCGGCACGGGCTTTTCCGCGGCACTTGATGGTGCACCTTCCTTCTCTGACGAGAAGCCTGGTCCCCTGTCCTTTGCAATGGGAACCTTCTCTGAGGAGGAGCGCACCACTGCATCGGGATCACCAATGCCACGGTGCTCAATGCCAGCCTTCCTGATCTTTAGATCTGGAATTTTGGCATCTGGTTTGAACTTAAAAATTGTTCTACCACGCCATTCATAGCCAATTTGTAGGTCCTTCCATTTTTCCTTGCGCCAATCATCTTGCTTCTTGATCTCTTCTCCACCTTCTTTCTTCTTGATGATTGTCAGTCGCAAGTCTTCCAGCAAGTCAGTGTCTACAGGACAGGACTTAGTTGCTGGAAAAAGAATCTTCCTATAATCCTTGTGGCGACGTATCAGTTCTCTCTTGTGAACATCTACTTCCCAGTAGTCAACCACAGGATATGCATGTTCAGCTACATCTTCATCACTATTGTGGTCAACAGAAATATGACCATATTCATAGTGAGTGAAGTGAGAGTAAAAACTCTTCTCGCGCCGAGTCTGCAAATTCACGTCAGACAGATACCATGCAATATCTTGGAAGTCCAAGACAAGATGAGTACTGGCTGCAACCTTCAACTCCAAATATTTGATACCAAGAGGCACCGATGTCAGATAAGCATGTTGAGGTGTCAGCCTGAGTTCAAAGCCTAAGTTCCTCATCTGTGGCAAGCTCATAAGCAAAGGGACTTCTCCTTCTTCCACTATGTCGAACTCTGTATGGTGGATCGTCCATGCACGATCATACATGTAAATCACCAGTTTCTGAGAGCAAGTAGCCTTCTGGGAATTGGCAAAGTAAAACTTGCTCTTGGTAGCCTCAAAAGAGTACCACAATCCACAATCTGGGTGATTGTCGACATAGTTGCAAAAATGGTCGACTGCTCGCCTTGATCCCATAGCTCTAGTGCATCCAATGTCCAGGATTGCAATAGTCGGCGGGAAGCGATTCTCAGTCAAAAATGAAATGGCCTGCATCTCCTTCACTTCTTCCTCAGCGCTCATAAGCGCAAAGCCATCAGGAGCCTTTGTGAGCATCTCCTTTGACAAAGAGTACCTCACAGGGGCACTCATGCCATTGAAGATCGTCTCACCATTGTTGACCGCGCAGTCAGCTTCATCTTGACATGAGGTCATCATGCCTGACAGCAAGTCCACCTCACTGTCATGGACTTCAGCTGCTGCTGTCACACAATGTGCAAAGAAACCTTGTTGACCTCCTGATGCTTGTGAAGATCTTGAAGGTGCAGGCAAAGAACGTGGCTGTTGTTGATTTGCATAGTTTGCATCTTGTTTGCCATCTCCTTTATCTTTTCCTTTTCCTTTCTTGCCTTTTCTCTTGCCTTTTCCTTTTCCTTTGTGGGAAAACCATGCTTCTTTAAGCTGTTGCCAAAAGTCATTGGCATCATCATATCCTCCTTGAAGATAGTCATTCATATCCTCGGCAAGAATGGCATCATATGCTACTTGGTTTGACTCCCAAGTGTCCTCATAAGGATTCTCTTCAAAGTATTCATCTGGAAAAGTTGTCTGTTGCTCATCAGCAAAATGGCCTTTACCTCGTCTCTTTCCTTTTCCTTTTCCACGAGGTCTGAAAAATCTGCGGCCTGATCTTCCTTTACCTTTTCCTTTTCTTCTTCCTTTTCCTTTGCCTTTTCTGGCTCTTCTTCCTTGGAATCTCCTTTGGAACCACGAGAAGTTTTGATCATCATATACCCAAAAGACATCGTCCAGGGCATCTAGAAATCCTTCAGTTCCATCTTCTTCATCTTCGGCCCAATAGCCAAATGTACCATCGAGTTCTCCTTCGTCTAGTACGAGAAATGATCTTCTACCTCCAGCACCTGTCGGCTGCATCAAAGGATTGTCTACTGAAGTCTTTGTTGCGCAGAACATCTCGATGAACACTGTCCTCAACTCTGTTGTAGTATACTGCTGCAGGACCCTGCCACGATGAGTCATCAATGAAGTCAAAGTGTTTCGCTGGTCCTGAGACAAATCTGCAAGTGACAGCATGAGTAAGGCAATGAGATTTTCTCCTAGAGGAAATTCGTTCTGATGAAAGGTCCTCATGTTGCCATTGATGGTCTGCATGATTTCCTGAATCCTTTCTGCCGTTGGTGCTGTTCCAGTCAATGCTGCATCTGCCTGCATCTGAGCTAGGACTTGTGGATGTGCTTGAGTGACTGGTTCTAACATGTCCATCCAACTGCTCATAAGCCTTTGGAGTAAAATCTGGAATCTTGTCATCCATTTCATCATGTCAGCTGATCCTCGATTGAAGCGCACGAATTGCATGAACCTATACAGGAATACATTGGTTGATCCTTTCACGAAATATGGTCGTAGTACTCGTTTGAAATATTCTACGCCGGCTCCTGGTGGATCATTTGCCTTCAATGCATCTCTGTCTAAAACACGCTTGTATACAGCTGCTTCTCCTTCTAATCTGTTTCTCAATGCTGGTCCTCTTTTCTCATCTTCCAGCTCGGTGATATCACACCAATCGTCTATGGCATCCTCATAGGAAAACCATGAAGTCTTTCCATCATAAGATGGGGGCACCTTTGTAGTGACCTGTGTTGTCATAGCTATCGCTGCTGGTTCTCTTCTCACATGCCTATTCACATAGGCTGCTGGCTCATAAGCCACATCCGCCCGCATCAGGCTCTTCCCAGTCGTCAATCCAATCCATGGCCGTTTGCCCACAAGCAATTCTATGCCTAGGAAAGGAGCTCACCTGGGTCTTCCAGGATCACTGCTCCGCTACCACTGAAAGAGTGACTAGGGCGTACACGGTAGAGGTGCAGACCGCTAGTGTCTTTTACTCACGCAGAGTCTTATCCTATATCTCTTTGAGCCTTGAGCCAGTCAAGCATGGACACACTATATCAGCTGTTGGAGTGGAACCCTGTACAGGTAGGCTCTACTTTTCAGGGGGGGGGGGTCGAATCAATTGATTTATCAATCATTCATCACATGGGGAGGGGGGGGTGGGGGTGTTAGACATTGATCTACCAATCTTTAGTCCCGAGCAAGCTCTCAAGCCAGTCCGGTCCTACGCTGCGGAACTCAAGTGCATGGCCGATACTTGGTCAGGGCCAAGAACGATACTACTCCAGCGACTCCGTATCAAGCAGCAAGTTCGGATTCCGGATTGCAGTGGCCGCATGATGGAAAGAGATCGTGCCTGGCGTTCTATTCATAAGATGAGAGGCATGCAATTGGCAGACGCAGACCTGTTTTTGGCAGCAGTTGAATTGGGTTGTTTTTGGGGGGTTTTAGGGATGTCTGTGCACTTCAGCTCACTTTCTGGACTCCCTGACACTCTTTTCCTCCGCACTCCCGATCCCAGTGAATCCAACACCAGACATTAAAGATTCGAAAGGCGCACGACATGAAGACAAACGGCAGATGTCACCAGGACGAAGAAGCCGAACATTGATACAACATGATCTGATAACCCTCTGACACCACCCAGCAGTTCCAAAAGAAGGACTGCGGCACGCCCCGCGAGCGTGCTCAAGAAATGAGACCTCCATAGGACCTCCCAGTTCGCGAGCAGTTGCGCGCGCGCGCGCGCCGACGTGAGGCGACGCAGCGCCGACGTTCCCTGTCGAGACCGGTCGAGTCCTCAGACCGCTCCCAAGACGAAAGGCGGTGCGGCAGTTCCTTCACTTGCTCTTCGGGCGGCGCCATGGCGTAGGTTTAACACTCGCAAAAAACGAAAAGGAGCTCTCGGGGCTCTCGCTGGGCTCTCGCTGGGCTCTCGCTGGGCTCTCGCTGGGCTCTGGATGTTCGGAGAAGCGAATTGATCGCTCGGGACCGGGTCTTGCTCGACCCCTTTTGGGGGGGGTTATATGATGCTGAAGTGAGGTCCATCCTGTCTTGAAGCTCGAGTTTTATGCTGTTCCTCATGAGCTGGTCCCACAATTCAAGCTGTCATGGTCAAGCCAATCCCACCGCACAAGGCACTGATCATGTGAAATCAAGCCACCATCCGTCGCAAGATGTCGCGTTCGGGTCAATCATGGCCCTTCCCATACTCCGACAGTCCTGTATGAAGAAAGACGGAACCTCCCCCCGCACTGCTCGGTGGCCTTTTGCCTTTTGCCTTCCGCAATGTGCAGGCGGAATCCGCGTTTGCTCGAGAAAACGCCAGTCATTGGATGAACGGAACCAAGTGAGGGGCCAAGCCGAGGGGGGCGAATCAGATTCCACCAAGCTAGGTCACCTAGCTGATGGCGGGGGGGGCCAAACGACTCTGACAAATCTGACCGTGACCATACCGGCAAGCGCCAAAGCAAGTTGATACATGTTGATTCCAGCTCTTCTGGAGCAAGCGTACTCTGCCTTTTTTGTAATGATGTTCCTTCTACTGTTGACATCCCTTGACTGACCCATTGGATTGAAAATGCTGCTAGGTGACACAACACACAACCGACTGCCAGGTGCCTATTGTGCTGCGCTTAAGCAGGGGTCTTCAACGCCATACCCATCACCTCCCCCCATCACGGTTCCAACAAACTCCACATGTGCCGCTGCACGCTCGGTCTTGCGGATTGCATGGCGGGAGTCTACACTAATCTGCTTACAGCAAGTTGAAGGAGTTATGATCTCAAGTGCAATGGGGCAAAAGAAGCCTTGCTAGTTCTGGAACATGACCATCTCAATCGTTCATTGGGATTGGTCAACAAGAAGTGTGAAGGATTATTCTTATCCATCCGCTCCACGCATCCAAATCAATTGCGCCATGCTTCTCTGCGACCGTCTAAAACATGTCAAACGGATTTCCGGACTCAGGAGCTGGGGCCGGAGATGCCTCCCACGAGCCAGGTTCGTTCGCGCGTCGGGGGAGGCACAATGCTCTTGAAGCCTTCCTGCCTTTCTAACACGGACGAGCTTCTGAAACAAGAAAAAGGAGAAGAAGATGAAATTGAAGTGTAATCCCATTCGTTTATCCCTTTTCAGACCTGCCCACAATGGCCCACATGTTTTCGCACCGAAAAAATCACATCTTTGCGCTACATCTCGTCCCAAAGCAAGGCATTGTATCGCTGTATCCCTATGAACTCGAGCGAAGAACTGGTGTGGGGCGGTGTATGTTGTGGACGACATGCTTGGAAAAGTGTCTTGCTTCTGAAAAACCTCAAGGTTCAAACACAGTAGGATACAGTAGGTTTGTTTGAATATGTTTGTGTAGACTTGTCCTCAAAAGCCAAGGGCCCACCCCAAAAATGGTCCGGGGAGAAGGTTTGGGAAAATTACTCCAAACACCCGTGAAAACCCTCGATCCTCGCCGCTTCGATGAGATCATCCCCACTCCTTTGACCTCTCAGTCAACTCACCTGCGGGACTGGGGCACCCGCATAGCCGCCTGCGCTGGAACCCAAAAAACATTTAAACATTAACACCGTTCAGCGCGCACTGGTCCTTCTCTAGGGATCGTTCACTTATCTTGAATTTCTCTTGAATTAAGTTCACAGCACGTGCGTTCCAGCAGTCCATGGAATGGATGAAACGGGGGATTCCGGGTGTTGTGCACCCTCCAATTGCTGGAATTGGGGGCGTGCGCTGCAAAAAAACTGCGAAAGGCCCAGCAAAATTGGGCCGTTCCTCGTCACAGATCCTTGATATGAATCCTCTGGAAAAAAGAAACAGCAAACAACATCAAATGACATCAGAAAGCTCTTGAAAGCTCGCGCCTGCACATCCGGCTGCCTCGAAACGGAAACATTTGACATGAAAAAAAACTGATGTTCTGTCCAGCTACGAAGAATGTGATTCAGACTTGAAAAGGTTTGGTCCGGTCCAGATTCTTGCATAAGAAGCATGCCCTACCCCATCCTCGGCTCCCCGAAACTTGGTCCCACCTGGGGCACATTGGCTGGCACATTCCTCTGCTGGAAGGCATTGACCAAATCCTTACGTGCCAAGCAAGGTGGCAAACGGGCAAACGGGTTCCCTTCACAAACCATTGGAACAGACAGCTCGGAAATCCTGGGCTGCAAGTGATCCGCAAGCCACATCAAGCCACTAGAATCTCTTTAAAAATAGAAATGAAAAAGATCCCTCCTTTGGTTCTCAGGCTTCCCGTTGCGTCTCCATGGTGGAATTGACCGGGCTCCGCGCATTGAATTGACCGGGACCCTCGCCCGGCGCGTTTGGCGGCGCCCCAGGCACCTCGGGGAGATTCGGACGACCGAGAAGCCGCGCGGACGGCGAAAGAACAAAAAGGAACCACGGTTTTTGGACGGCTTTTTGGACGGCATGTGTCCTTCTTGTCCAGTCATGACATGACTATATAGTCGACCGGAGAAGACGATTCAGCTGACTGTTGAAGTGTTGAGGAACATGTTGATGTGGAAGTTGGTGCCATCTGTTCCTTCTTTCGTCCGTCCGAGCGGCTGGTGCCATCTGGCTTTGCTTGCTTTGCAACACCTGCATCACCCTGGCGTCGGTGGAAGGCGCGGCACAGTGCCGCGAAGCGCCCTCCAAAGGGCAGGTTTAGTGCACCTGGAGAGGCCCCCCATGTAACTTGAAACACTTGTGAACCGAACTAAAGCCTGGCTGCAATGAATTCACCATATCTCACACTTGGGCCCCATTTCCCAAGCTTCGTTCTGAAGCCAAACCAAATCCCTTCAAGGGTTTCACCGGTCCTGGTCAAAACAAGGCTTACAAGATCTTACAAGTACTTTCAGCTAACAGTGAATCCAACTTGGAACTGGCAACACAGCTTCGAAGGCAGCATGGAAAAGGCCAGGATGGACCATGGAAAGGCGCAGCGTTCTGCGGACTCACTTGTAGAACTTCTCACTCCTTTGACCACTCGGAGAGGGATCATTTCTGAGTTTTCAGGCACCATGTGCACTCGAAATAGTGAGAAGCAGTGACTATGACACCTGAAAGTAAATTCCTCAAAGCCATTGAAAAGCCAGCTCCCCGTGTGTCCACAGTTCCGTGCGGAAGAACAAGGGGCATTTGCATCTGGCTCTGCAGCATCATCTGCCACTGCATGAGCCTGCAAAGGTGGGAGGAACTTCTGTTGAATCAAAATTCCCTTCCTATAGGAAGTGCCTCCTCCTGAATTGTTTCTTCGCAAACCCCGTGTCGATGTTTGAAAGCTGCGAAATCCACGGAAAACATCCGACATCATGTCATGGCCCTTTAGATCAATATGCCCATCATGAACTTCAACATGCTGACAGTTCCCCGATTCCCCAACTTATTGAAACTTCCCGGACCCGATGGATTTGAAACACCCAACTTGATCCTGAGCTCCCAGCTGCTCAGGGCTCATCTGCTGCAGCTGTTGAGGGCCGCCTAAAAGGCTCATGCCAGGCATAGGCATCCTGGCACCGGTGTGAGCCGCCCATCCGTTTTTGGTGCCATTTCGGCCCAACAAATCGACTCTCGGTGGTTGATCAAAATCCTTAGTAAAACAATGGTTGTTCGGTCTCTCACTTGCGGACGATCACGCGCATCTGACCCTTCCATACGGGTCATGGTTGTTCGGAAGCTAGGCTACTTTTTAAACATGGTGCTTCGTGTCCAGGGCGCTTCGTGGCATTGGACGAAACATCGGCACTCCATCCGCATCGCATCGCATCCGTGCGAGACGTCGCCGTCGTCGCCGGTCGCGAGAAACGGCGCGAGAGGTGGAAAAAAAGAGCAGATGTTTGGAGACCCATGGAGAACAGCAGCTTTCCAACATGCGAAATAGGGCGAAATGCTCACATCTAAGCTTCTGCCAGCCCTCCAAACAGGCCGGCTTCTGCGACCCTCCCGGTTGCACGGGCACAGGCATCTGCTGTGGCTGTGGCCTGAAAATGGATCGCGGATGAATCGCGGATGATCGCGAAATCGACTCCGAAAGAGTCTGCATCGCCTCTTCAAGACTTCATTGACGCCAAATCGAAGCCATTGAGAGGACTTTCGCGGAACCAAAAGCACGTGCAAAGGTCCATAAAACATCCAGACTGCATCGGCTCAGCTTCCCAGCACGCTGCCATGGCCCACCTGAAAACACAAAGTCTTCATGTGTGTCTGTGTGTGTGTGTCAACATGTCTTTCTCTTCATCATCAGAATGGTATGAACGTGAAGCAGTTGGCAAACACAACATTCAAGTAGAAGCCACCGCCGCCTCTTTTCAATACTAAGTGCGTGGGTTGGGAATCAGGTAGATCAGAAGCTCTCCCTTCTTATCGCCATGCCTCCTCAGCTCCGTATATAAGTGGCCAAACCCTCGTCATTGTTGATTCGCTGCAGCGGACGATTGAAGATCATTGGGGTATGAACAAACCATCTCTTCCAGATGTCCATCGAATTCTCCTACCACACCATCGTCTTCCTCCCAAAGTCGAGCCAGAGCCACAGCCACAACACGCCGTCCATGCGTCCGCCTGCCTTGAGAGGCCCTCGGCGACCCCGGCGACCGGTGCTCCCGCCTGCGGGTTCGCCGGGGGCTCGCAGAGGTCGTCGAAGGCCGAGAAGCGCGCCACGGGTGGCCTGAGAGCCGACGGCTCCGGGCGAGACCGTCTCGCCCGGGTGAGGTGGAACGATGGAGAGACATGTTTCGGTGTTCGGCGGGGGGTGGAAAAACACACATGCTCGAGGGATCCAAACACCTGGAACTATGTATAACTCTGGTCAAAGCACGTAGTCAAAAGCTCCTAAGTCAAAGGCTTGGGAAAAGCCAGGTGGCGGGCAGTGGCGGGCGGGCAGTGAAAACTGGGAGATTGGTATCAAAGCGCATGATCTAACGCATAATCCCTCGAACTTGAGCCACCTCAAGTTTGTCATCCGAATATTCCACACCGCACCTCACACCAAAACGTCAAAACGTCCGTAGCATATCATCTCACACATTGTGACTTGTCTTGAAATTGTTTTTTCATGGTGTTCTTTGCTTTAGGGTTCCAGTGGCACCCTAAAGTCTTACAAATTGGTCCGATCCAAATTGATTGACTCACCATGATTTTCACCTCAGTCGATGACGCACCCTCCTAAGTCGCCAGTGTTTGCCCATAATGTAGACTCTTGCATGATTAATGAACCCTAATATCTCCCAAATGATTGGACATCCTCTTCATTATCAATCAAGGGTCCACATTCCTGTCCCCAATTGGTCGCTCAAGGCAACAACTCACAGCTGCAGCCGAGCGACGCTGCTGCGGGTGCAGCACCCGCGGGTGCGGGGGCAGCTGCGTGCACCGGCACGTCTGCAGGTGGGGGTGCCTGCAGAATGTACAGCCGGATTATATAGCAAGACCTAGCAACCTACCAGCAAGAACTGGTTGCAGCGCTCATCAACCCTTCGCTTCAATATGTTTCACTATCATTCGCACTACATTGTCCTTGGTCGTTGTGCGACACGTGTTGTGTGCTTTTTGTGTCGCTGGGCTCGCCGTCTGTTGTACCCGGTGTTGTGTTGTGATTGTTGTAGGTGCTGCCATTATGTTGTCATGTTGTTTATTGGTGTTGTCATTGTATGCAGTTAGTCTCATGGTTTGTTGTCCTTGCTTGTCATTGCACTGGGTGATCTGCAGCTGTGACCCATGATAGGCTGGGTTGTCTATCTCAAATCCAACTACTCAACTCCAATCCTGCGTGCCTTGTGAACAAAGGACAGCGCGGGGCGAGTGACAAGAAAAGAAAAACAAACCAACTATAATGACTAACCAACTAACTAACGAAAATATACGAAAATGACGCCCTCCACAGACTGCGCCTGTGGCGCAGCCGTAAAGTCCAGGTCGAGATCCAGCAAGCCGCCCGGTGGCGCGGCCACCGGCGCGGCCACCGGCGCGGCCACCGGGGCGGCCACCGGGGCGGCGGCCACCGGGGCACCTGGCGAAAGCGTTGAAAGGGCGCCCACCTCGTTCGGACTTGGGAACCCAAGTCAAAAGCCTTTCATGTTTAAGACCTCTGTAGAATACCAAAAAAACAATTTTGACCTCTCGATGTTGATCAGACCACCTGTTGGGTGGGGTCACTGACATACATGCACACGTGTGTCTATATATATACTCATGTTTTCTGTCCTTCACATCTACAGCTCTATTGGTGTACACATCCGTGTACTTCTCTTGACAAAAAGCGGATGAAGTCGGACCGTCGGACCGTCCGACGTGTCACGTTCCACGGACCGTCCCGTCGACCGGTGCCGAGGCGATGGTCGTTCCTCCCATCGGCGACCGTCCGTCGCCCTGCCTGAGAAATCTCCCCAGTCGGCCTGTGCTTGGTGTGCTGGCCCTGAGGAAGACAGCAGGGTGATGATACAAACAGGTCGTTGTTTGGACGAGTCAAAGTGCCAGAAACTGTTCGCACGTGAAGAGCTTCGCTTCCAACTTAAGCCAGTTTTCCGGCACCTTGTTGCACATGCTTTAAGCCGCCAAATAGCTGCCATCGCAGCTTCTGGATGCTGTGACCAAGTTATTTCACCGTCAATGATTCAGATGTCCAACAATTGACTATTAAGGGTACCATAGGGCACCTAAAGGCACAAAAATCCGATTTGCTGCCTGGCCTTCAGACCCTCAATGTGAGGAAGTCAGATGCGGATTGTCAAACCATGTCAAACCCATCCACCCTTTCTCGTCGATCCCCGCAACTACCTTGGCCATGTGCACCATTCCTGCCACCATCTGGAAAGAAATCGTCTGTCCTGAACCAGTCAGAAGTTGTTGTGGGGATGGTCTGACTCCATGACACTCTATGATTCTTATGCACCGCTGCAACTTACGGGTCTATGCCAGGTCTATGCTATGACTCTATGCTTCGTGGTGCAACTGTAGGGCAGGTCTAGGCTTTCTTGGGACACCCGTGGCACGAACACAGGCACGCCGATCCGATCGTCACATGGCACGTGAAGTCTGCGGCGGCCCGATTTCGGGCCTGAAACACATCATCTATTAGATACGCTGCTTCAAATATGTACAGTATGTCTATTTACATAGAATCATACAATACATATCATCAATTCTGTTTCAAATGATCCTTCCTCAGAAGGGCCTGCCCTTCAACGTTCATCGTCACCGCTCGGCTGAGCGGAGCGCGGGAGCGCGGACGGATCACGCCTTGACTCTGAGACCCGTCGACGGTCGTCATCCCGCCTGAAACGCACGGAGATCACAGCCCGCTGTAGCATGGCGCATCTGAATCTGAACCTAATGTAGAATCTTGATAATTGTATCTTGATATCCCCCTTACTACTCCCAGTGGTCTGCCGTTTTGCATTTTATCGAGGGCGAAGTGAGGGGATTATCTTGATTAAGAACCCCTCCATTTGGATTGAGAAACCTCTTCATACTGCGGGGTTGTTGAATCAAGAGTCTACATTAGCGGGAATCTCCAAAGACCCCCTGATAAAGAATCAATCAAACAAACAATATATAGACTTGCCAGGGGTCCCACAGCACTCCCACTTCAAATACGCAGCCACTTCGATGACACGATCCAACACCTCCGCACCTCCGATGCCGCTCGTCCTCCCGATCCCGGTCGTCGTAGCGCCGGTCGTCTCTATCCCTGTCGTCGTAGCGCCGCCGGTCATCCCGGTCGCGGTCATCGTAGCGATCCCGGTCGCGGTCGTTGTAGCGATCCCGGTCGCGGTCGTCGTAGCGGTCGCGGCGATCTCGGTCTCGGTCTCGGTCCCGGTCGTCCCAGTCGCGCTTGTCTCCTTGGCTTCGCATCGCCGAACGCCGGTCGGCGCCAGGAGTCACAGTGTCGGAGAAAACTTGGGCGGGGTAAATTCATGGACATTCAAAAGGGGTGTTTGAATGTGTTTGACTTTTCTCTACCAACAAACCTTCAAGACATGCCAAAACACAAAGTGCTGGCAGTCATCCGAATTAGATCAACTTCATGATAGAAGGGAGGCTGGGCCTGAAGGTCCTAGGGAATATAAGTGAGCCCAAAGCAAAATCAGCGGGTTTGTCAAATGGTGCAAGCTCGTTTCAGTCCCTCGGCCAATGCAAGTATACATACGAAACATGCATATTAATATATAGTAATGGATAGCAGCTATAATAGTAATAGCAGCCACTGCAAGTACAACAATTATATTATAATAGCTATACAGTAGTTGCTATTATATATCAGTAATAGCAGCTACTGTATAGCATACAGATCAAAATGATCAAAACAATATTGTATTATAACAAAAAATGACAAGTTGCTGGGCAAGACGAAGTCTCTGGAACTGTACCTTCCATCGTCCTCATCCTTCCGATGACGGAAGTCCTCCTCCCGATGTCTATCGCCTCTGTCTCGCTCCTCTCGAAAGTCCCGCCCGTGCCGATCCTGCCGATCCTGCCGATCCTGCCGATCGCGGTCATGGTGATCTCGGTCTCCCCGGTCGAGCCGCTCGTCGCGCCGATCACGGTCTCCCCGATCGTCACGCCGATCACGGTCGTAGCGTCGATCACGGTCTCCATTTCGGTCATCCGCCTCGCGATCCCGGGCCTTAGAGTCGGTGCAGCTTGGCCGACGAAGAGAGGCGGTGTCACACCGGCCCGGCCCCAAAGGAGGGGATGGAGATGGAGAAGCTCACACCTAGATATGACAGGAAAACAATCAGAAATCAGACATCGCATGCTCACCAATAAGATCCAACATAGATCTAAACATGATCCAACATAGCTTAGCACAACCGCACATCTTCATTCCAGGGCACATCAGAATCATTGTGCCTCTTCGGGTCTCGGTCGCGGCCGTCGCGGCCGTCGCGGCCGTCGCGGCCGTCGCCGGCTTCGCGGTCAAAGTGTCGGTCGCGCTCGTCGCGATCGCGGCCTGCGCTCGGGGCGTCGTGAGGTGGGACTTTGGTCGGTGGCGGGAATCCGTCGACGAATACGGTGGAATACGAGTGAATGAGGGACCACCTCTTGGAAAATCTGTCAATCTTCCAATGCTCACAAACGCCCCGAGAAGGCTTAAACCAGTGTAGCTTGGTCGGAAAAGCGTTGTAGAGGAAAAATGATGAAATTGGAAACATCGTGTACGAAACTGGAGCGCTCTTCGCCATTGCCATGTTCAAAATGCTTCAAGAAAGCCGAGAAGAAGCATGACCATGAGGAGTGCACAATGTGCTGCTGTGAAAATATTAAATCGGCTGTACTAAACACCTGGCGTGCAGGTAGCAAGACCTCCCATGCAACTTGAACACCTTTTATGGAGCGTCCCCCATATCATCATCATCATCATCATCATCATCATCATCATCATCATCATCTGCTTTCGGGTGCATTGATGCTTTTGCGGCGCCTCCATCGTAGCGGCGAGCGTCTCGGTCGTCGCGGTCTCGACCATGATCCCGGTCGCCGTTGCGCTCGACCTCGGAAGACAGCGCCGTTGGACCAGCGGGTGGAGCCTCCGGTGTACGGCGGTGGACAGTCCAGTGCGCCAAGACCTTTAAGACCCAAGGACCCCAGGTGCCATTGACTTGAGAAACTTGGTTAGAGGACAGAAAATGGAGGGTCATGTCACATGGGTGCAGAAGGAAGATCTCATTTTGCCGAAAACCGGTCATCTGAGCTGATTTGCTCTTTCTGAAAGGTGTCTTTCCGGGAAGTCTCCTTCTTGGCCGTCGCCTGGGCAATCTGTCTGGTTTGCAAGATGGTATGGGTGCAAAGAAGAAGACCTGATGTGGCAAAGGTTGGAATTCAGGATGATTTGTATGATTTCTGTATGTGATTTGAATCGATCCCCCGACCCACAGGGCCGGCCGGCCGGCCTGGGGGCGCCATCGGCCCGTCTCCCATCCTGACGTCCGACGGGGAAAGTCGTGATGAGCCGTGCCCCCGGACCCAGCGCTTCTCGGTGTACTTCATCTTGATGAATTCCCGGCACTGAGACGCGGGGAGAGGGATGTTGAAGAGAGGGACGTTGAACGGCACTGATTTACGCAGTCCCACGCGACATGCCAAAACGGTGGCGTGTTTAATACTGCTTTAATATTTTTTCTATAGTGGCTTGCCTTATCTTGCCTGGCCTGCCTTGCACGCAGGGTCTCCAGAAAACATCAGGGAACGATTTAGCCCTTCGAAGCACCTTTCTAGAAGAACTTCTGACTGGAAGTGTCTGGTACCTGAAACAGAAAGCAGGCTGAATCAAACCCTTCTGTGTGCTTGAAAGACACCTCCCTCTTGCGCACCTTGTTCTGATCCGAGCTATCAGGCTCTGGGCAGTCACCTGGGCCACGGACATTGCAACAAGCGAATTCCTTCGCCTCGGATTCGGCACTGCCCAATTCGATTGGGACCTGCATTAGCTTGTGCAAAGCATCCTTCATCCTCATACCGATCCACGCCCACCTGTGATTCCGGTTTCAACCCGCATGAGCCGACCGGGTCAGGGCCAGGCGCGCCTCCGCCGCGGCGCGAACCCTCCCGCGCATCCGTCCGCATCTTCGGCCGAGCCGCGGGGGTCCCAGCGCGCCAGGAACTTGTCCGCCGCCTTGGCATTGCCTCCACCTTCGAAAGCAGCGCGAAAGATGACGACGGAGACGTCGACAGAAATGCTTCAGCTGTTCAGCGTTCGGGAGGTTTTCGGTTCGCTGCTTTTTTGGAGGCTCCGGACGACGTGGTCGGACCGTGGATGGACGTTTATTCGTGGCTGGTTGGAACGTGGCTTCGAACAGGTGAAGTTCATCGATGGTGACTGGCCCCTTTGGTCCAAATGGAAGGGGAAGCGAAACGCCCGAAGGCTTTTCCCAAATCGTCTGCGGCACTGCGAGGTCGAGGTCGTTCTGAAAAAGCCGCACTTGGTCAATCTGAGGCCCGTCGGGGTTCGTCGGCGGGGGCTTGAGACCAGAAATGGATTCAAATGAATCCTATTTTGGAACCATCTAAAGTTAAACCGTTTTCCATCTTTTTCCCATGGCTTGTGGCAGTCAGAGCTGTGTCCAGCACCTGAACCATCACGAGTCAGGAGGCCGTTTGTCTCTGCGCGAGTCAGGCCCTTCGCGGATCCCCGCGGCGTCGAGTCCGGTCGCCGAACTCGGTGCCCCGGACGTTCGAGGTCCTCGACCTCCTCCACCGTCCACTTTGAGACGGAAATGCCCTGGAGAGCGGAACTGTGTCCCTGCACTGGGGCACTTGAAGGTGGGGTGGTTTCAAGCTTAGATGGCGTTTCTTTTGGTTGGACAGCTCGGCAATTCTGCACCATATGCATGATGGCAATGGATGGCATGTGACTCTGCCACCACCCCTCGCTGGCTCCAGGTGATTGGAATTTACGTTCATGTCGCTGTCTAGCTCTCTCACCCAAAATCCTCAGGGATCTTGGAGCAAAAGGTGACCCAAATTCAATCCGGCCTGGTGTCCTTTCATATCTGAGAGTGTATCAAAATAGGAGGGAGACCTCCCAAAGACTTCCTGGAAGAAGGGAAATAGACTACCCCTTGGTTGATATTGGTTGGCGGCCTCCCTCTTTAAAAAAAAAACCACCCAATCTTTGGTATACCAACAGTGGCTTCACTCTCCAGAACTCCTCCCCCCCCTCGTCCTGTTCCTCTGGTTCCGCACCTTCACCTTGTGGCTGAATTCCCGGTGGAGTCCACTGCAGGTGGTGCACACGAAGGTCCCAAAGGTGAGGCACACATAGGTCGGACCCACCTGGAAAAAGCGCCGTCCCCGGCGTCCCAGGCCGTGGGCCGCGTGGCCGTCGACCCGCGCCCGTCCAGATCGATGCTTCACATATCCAAGAGCTTTCAAGTTTGGACTGATCATACTCATCGCAGTTCTCGCTCCAAAAGTCAAAACGAGCGAAGGTCGTGACCGAAGAGATCCAAATTTAACATGCATGCATGCCAACAGCTGTTCAGGTTTCAGCCATTGTTGGAGATGATATCGTCTGATGGACAATCGGAAACCTCTATCCATGGTCGTGTCATCAACTCGCTCGTACAATCTCTAGAGAATGCCAAATCTTAAAGCCCGACACTGCAACTGGTGTGCAAGTCGTCGCCAACACTTCAACAACTTGCGGGTGACGGTGATGCAGGTCCTGTCACAAATCTCACACACACAAACACAAAAGCGCATGTGAAATCACGAGTCACGAGTCAGACGAGTCAGGAACGACTTCGCCCGTCTCATCCCACCTCAGTACAATCTGCACACCGCTTGTTGGCTTTGTCGCTTCGTTGCAAAGCACGAATCCGATCAAGAAGATTCTGGCGACGGGTCGCCGGTGCGGGCGACGGGTCGCTCGTCGTTCGACGTGGATGGGAGCTGATGTGTAGACGAGCTACTCTACTGGACACAAGTCTGCTCTGAAGGCGCAGGTCCTATTCAGATCCTTTGGTTGATCCCACTGAGCAAGAAGCCCTGGGGATCTAGCTGCAGCGCAAACCCAGAAATAAACCTGTCCAGGAAACCGAACTTCTTCTCCTAATGGTGCCCTTGAACTGGCCTTCTCGCTCACCTTCTTCATGGCATGCGTTGACTGGAACTAAGGAAGAGCGAACCTATTCATTCACCTGCTATGGGACTGGGAAACTGGGCGGCTGTGGCTGTCTTGCGGGGAAGTGGACGGCATACATGTTTCGACTGAATGTAGTTACGTATAACAGGTATATACTGTATCTGCTACACTTCCTCAAGCTTTGCAGTATTTAGTGTAATTCTCTTGTACTCTGAAAGGCTCTAGTCAGCTGGTTTGTGGCTGGCCAACAGGTACAAATGCGCATTAACCAGCATGTGCATGATTGACTGGCCAAGGGCTCACGCGGAAGAGTCGCAACGGCAGACAAGCAAGTGAACCAATCCGAGAAATGGACCAAAAGCCGGCTGCATTGCAATCCTATAATCCTATCACGTGAAGCCACTCGTCACTCGTGTGGCCATTCTCTGCAATTATAATTTGGAGGTGAATATTAATTGTTGATAATCTCGTTCACATAAGATATCATAATAGACAAGAAATTGCCAACCAACAAATATAATGCACTACCCTGTTATTCCACCTTATGACAGCTGCCCAGAGGATACAAATAAGGAAAATACCAGTAAAAATAGAAGACACTAATATCCAATAGTAATAGTAACAATAATAATAATAATCGTGCATTGGTATTTTCCCACTTCATAGTATTTCAATTAGCCTATGCAACACCCAGCGGATTGGTGGCCATATCAACCAAGGGGGGATGAATAAAACATCGAAAGTATAGCAGAAGAGTCTTCGATCCTGCCACCCTTCGTTGGATTTGGATGCTTCTAATGCACTCATACGCCCTTCCAGATTCCTCTTCGAAAAAGAGATTTCCCCAGTCGAAAAAAATAGAAAAGATTGATAAAACTGGAACTCACATGAACTCACGGCACAAAACGCGCACCAAAACACGTCTCCCCCTGCTCTCGAACCCACGCGCCCGCGCCTGCGGTCCTTTGAATCGATGAGCTTCGCATCCCAGCCGCGTTTGGATCCGCGGAGCATGGATCGGGTGCCACCGGTCCATCGGTCCATCTCCGGGAAGGCCGGGAAGGCCTTTGTTGGCCCGGCTTGTCGAGCATGGAGCATGGAGCAAGTGCTCCATCACCGCGGTCAGCCTGGGAAACCCCTGAAAAGACCGTCCGCCTGTCTCCAGCCTGTCTCCCTTTCTCCCCAGCTGGTTGGCACGAACAAACGGACCCACAAACTCCGCGGATCCCGAGGTACTTTGTCCTCGGACTCGAAGGCAGAGAATCAAGGCATCAAAGATCCGCCGAAAAACAGAAAGATCAGTGAGAGTCCGTGACATAGAAGAAACAAGAAGAAACACCTGTGCTTCATGCAGTGACATTAGGGGGCTCCATTGACTCACAGCCGTATATATCGTCACACCTATCATGCAGCCTCGTCAAAACAGAATCGAGAAGAAAGAATAAGACTAAGAACTTATGCCTTAAGCCTTCGATGAAAACAAGGAGCTCCATGAGATAACCAGTGAACTGACTTCCAGTTCCACAAACTGATCTTTGACTTTGCCTCGTTTTCTGTGCCGCCTTTGGCGGCGCTCGCCCTGCGCCCTGGCACGCACCTTTTCGGCGTTCCGTGCGTGCGCTCCGCATCTCTGGCCGTTGGAGCTCGACCCAACGAATAGGGAGATGCTGAAGATGCTCTGAGGATGTATGAGGCATAGTCAAAAACCTGAAAACGCTGTTCCAACATATGGTTCACGGCATTGGAACACCTGAGAATGACTTCAAGTTCGTCGGCTGGGAACCGCCGAAGGCTGTTCCAAACGGTCACAGTCTTCCGGCAGCACGGCTCACATGTGCCTGTAGCGCGTGTGGGGCTCCACGCGCCACCTGCGCGGGGTCACGAGTTCACCCCATCCGATCGGGAAAAACCGGTTCCAAAAGAAGACACATGGAAACACCCCCCGGAAGGAACTGTGAACTGATGTGAACTGCATCGCATGTCTGGGAGACATGGAGTTGGGTGCTCCATCGGCTTCATCGCCCGCCCTCCAACGAATACCAGAACCTGCTATGGCCACCACAGAGAAAACGTTGCGCAGGTGTAATCCCGAGTACCTATTAAAAAAACGGACCCCTATTAAAAAAAGTCATGCCGGATCCCCCTAAATTCGGTTTATATTTGGTTTTAAATTACCGCCCTTTCAAACCGCTACTAAACTACCAACATGGTCGATTTTGGGGGTAGTTTCTTTATTAGGTTCCCCAAAACTCCCTCAAAATAGGTCCCAATACACCCTCAAAATCGACCATGTTGCGTTGCAGACTCTCCGCTGGCTCTCCTAGTAGCGATGCCAGGAGCCCCTAGTAGGGGCCTTGCTCCTAGTAGCGATGCTAGGAGTCCCTAGTAGCATCCTTGCTCCTAGCAATAGCTAACTCTAACTGTCTGGCTCTCCACTGACCCTATGTTGGGCCCCCCGATTTCAGGGACCGCCTATTAGAAAAAATGCGACCGAGGTTTCCTTATTAGGGGGGGGGGGCGTGTTTTTATTAGGTGGACCGGATTACTGAAGCCACATTCCATGAAATATCGTGAGACCTTGAGTATCGTTCCAACCATATCCGCCATCCTGCATCCTCAAACCTCACAAGGTTGTTCCAAGTGTTTCATGGGACAGACCTGAACAACAGATCAGAACTGCCAGACCCTGCAGTCCAAGGTCCGCGCCGATACACCACGTCCGTCCCGGGCGACCGAGAGGTCTCGGGTCCCGGACTCGTTCTCCGGCTTCAACGTCATGTCCTGAGACTCAGCGATCCAGATGGGGTGAACCGAAGGGGTCCACCACTGCGGATGCCGGAAATCGGAGAGCCATCATGAGCCATCTACTTGGTCGACTTCACTGAGGACCGGGGCCTTGGTCTGTGCATCCACCGACTTGAGCTGCCTGACTGGGCGGAGGCCAGAGGGCGGCAAATAGGGATGGTTGGGGCCAACTGGTCTCTTACAAACATTCTTGTTACTAGTAGCGATGGCCTCCAACCTAATAGCGATGGCCTCCACCCGGTAGCTTCTTGCTACTAGTAGCAAAGGTCTTTAATGAAATGAAAACGATGGAAGACGTGCAGAAAAGCCTCGACTCAAGATTCAGGCAGGGTCACAGGCACGTGGGGTTCCCTGCAGAAAGAAGTGACTTGGAACGCCTTAGTGGCAGCCCCGTGAAGACTAAAGGACCTGCCTGTAGGCAGCTTCTGCCTTGCCAAGGGCTTGCTCTCGGTCTTTGGTTTTAAACCAGGTGCCAAGGCCTCAGTTCATGAGTGGAGGATTTTCCAACCACACGATGGAAGGGTTCAGTGGGCCCACTCTTCGAGCAATTCGAGTCAGCCCAGAATTCGAGTCAGCACGGCAATACATGACTTACTTACGAGATGGATTGGTTCAAGGGAACATCTACAGGAATTTCACGGTTTTTCACCCCCAAAGTGATGGGTGTCCCGTAAATGTTCCCTTCAACCCAAGGTCCTCCGGGTTTGCCTTGGTCATGCTCAGCCCTCGGGGCCCAGGCAGGAGACCGCATCCATTGCGCCCAAGAAGCCACGGATGCATCCAAGGCCTGGTGAGTGGAGGTGACCAACTTGGAAGGTGGAGATGCCCTGATCGAGATGCGTTGTTCAGAATCGAGGAGTTTGTTGGAACCCAAAAAATGCAATTCTGCTTGGAAGAGCTTTCCAAGCAGCCAAGATTGCTTGCGGCGCGGCTTTCTCGAAAGCAGTCTAGGGGCGCGTTGCGCCGAAAGGACACCCATCCGTTGGGTCGCGCCGAAACACGCCTCCCAAGCGACTTGCCGGGATTTTGGGGGGAACGCCCCGAAAACCGGTCAGCCACGGAAGAACCGCCGTCATCGACCCGGTCAGCCACGGAGCGGATCAGTGTCCCCCCACCGGTGGGCCAGAAGGGCTCCAGGAGCGCATCACCTCCGGCAGCGCTGCCACGAGCTGGAAACGACTGCACCACTGCACCACTGCACCACACCATCAAAGGATGGATCGATATACAGATTGTTTTGCGAGTTGTTGGCCCCCCATGAGCACTTATGTTTCATTGAGCATGGAGAAACAGTAATATCATGAATTGCTTCAACAAGGCCCAGCCAGCCATCGCCTGCCAATGAGATGGCCAGGGGCGGCGTGGAGGCCTCCCCGAGGGTGACAGACTCGGCGCTTCGGGACGTGACAGGCTCGGTCCGGTCTCTGTAGACATCAGCGACTCCCGAGGAAGCTTCTAGTTACTAAGAAAGCTTGATTGTTAACGTTCGTAGCGATGGCCTCCAACCGACTTGCGATGGCCACCGAGCATACCGTCCTTGTTCCTAGCAGGGTCGTCGTCGCACCCGCCGTCTCGCCTCTCCGTCTTGGAAGAGCATCGCCTTTCGTCGTCGCGGGGGCCCCATGCCGATCCGAAAGGCCTTTCTTGGAATGGAGCCTGGGTGGCCCCAGGTGCCTGCTCGTGTCGCTTGGTGTCGGAGAAGTCGAAAATCATCACTGACCTCGCAGAGGAGTCGAGGAATTCCACAGGGCGGAATTGGAAACAACACTCACACGGCTTTAAAAGATGAAAGCCGTGTGCCTGGAAGTCCAAGACCAAATTTTGGGAATGATCTCTGCTTCAATGGAGCAAAAACATCGTCTTTGGACTTGATATGGGGTTTGGATATGAGATGAGTAACGAGTACATGATGGCAGATTCGTGCACGAATGCATTCGGTGGCGTGTTCCTCCCCCACTGTACTCATCTGCACTCTAGCGAGCCGAGGTTTAAAAAGCGGCTGAAGCCAAAAACTCACGACAAGCACCCACTGGCTTTGGACGAGTGCTGAGGATCTCAGCTGTTCTGGCGTAAACTCCGTGGGCAGCCCAAAGTGCACTGCGACCTGAGCAAAAACATTGCAAAAGCACCCTCGAAACAAGTACAGTGGTTTCAGAGTAAATGGCTTTAGATGGGGGTCTACAAAACGTCCTCCCTGCCTTAGCGAGGTCATTGCCACAACACTTTAGAAACACGAGTCAACGCTGTTGTCCGTTTCGGGTGAAGAAGCTCGGGGAAGCTCGGCAGGCCGAAGAAAAACACCGCCAGCGACCCCACACGACCCACCTCCTGCGCCAAGGACTTCAAGTTGTCCAGCTCCACCTTGAAGTCTGACAAGCTTTGAGTCCGACAAGCCTTTAAGACATTGTGCCTGAACACCACCCACGTGCTGTGAACCTCGCATCTCTTTTTTCAGCCCACAGTCCCTTCACATGTCAATCCCATGATGTCGCTCTCGACCATCGAAATCCTGTGGTCACCTGACCATCACTTGGTCTCATTGGTCTCTTCTCGCTCCCCTTCCTCCCAGAGTTGCACTTCTTCCAAGCTCCGGCCGCAGGTCTCGGGCACCAGGTGATAAACGGCCACGGCGCCAGCGGTGTTCACGAGCGCGAAGGCCACGAAGAGAGGGGAAAGGCCCAGGCCGCCCAGGGCCAGGGGGAAGATTTGCATTTCCATAGCCTTGACTCCATAATTGAAGACATGGGACAGGGCCAAGCCGTGCTGACGCATCGGTTGCGGGTAGAGCTCGGTGGTGAGTTGGAAGGACGTCGGAGCCCAACAGAGCTCGAAGAGGGCTGTGGAAGCCACCAAGGATCCGAAAGACAAGGCCATGAGACCGCCTCCAGCATGGGAGAGAACAAGTACTGACATGGATGCAGAGGTGCCTAGGCAGCCCAAAAGCAGGCTGCCACGCCGTCCCAGTCGATCCATCAGCACAATGCCCATGGGCGTTGCCACAGATCGCACAGCCGTCAACGCAACACTCATGGTCGCAAGGTGGCTCTGGAAGCCCATGGCTGCCAAAACAGGAGCCAAGTATGTGGTCATAGCTATAGTACCATTGGCTTGCTTGATGAAATTCACCATAGCACTGATCTCCGTAGCGGGGTGTCGCAGCATGTCCCACACATCAGTACCACTGGCGCTTTTTTGCTCCGCCGGACGAGCGCAAATCATCTCCAGCTCCTCGGGGTCGTCACGGCCCAGCAACTTTAGAGATGCCAGTGCTAGTGATCTGCCATCACCATAGAGCCCAGATCCCCTGAGAGCATCTGCATCTGCATGTGCCAGCCATCTGGGGGAATGTGGCAAGAGCAGCATGCCAGCCCCAGCCATGGCGCTGGGCACTGCCACAGCTCCAAACATCAACTGCCAGGCTCCCGGGATAGGCTGCAGCAGCGCTCCCAAGGCCACGCCAGCGGTGGAGCCCAGCGCGAAGGCCGCCCAGCGCGTGCCGTTCGAGGCACCGCGGAGCTCGGCCTCGACGGTCTCCGTGACGTACTGCGCCTTGGCCGGCGAGGAGACGCCCTCAGCCAGGCCGGCGAGGAAGCGCAGCAGCAGCAGGGTGGGGCGATCCGCAAAGAAGGTGCCCAAGGAGATCGCGGTCATGCCCACGGCGGTCCAAACGAGCACATCGCGTGAGGAGGTCTCCTTGGAAGTACAAAGCAAGAGACTCGAGCCGCAGAGTGCGCCGCAAACGCGCGAACTCACCACGGCACCGATGTCCCATGCGGATAGGAGTGCCATTGACCCCACCAAATGGGCATCCGTGAGCTGCAAGACCGCGAAGGAGGTCACCCCACCTTCCAAGCCAGAAGCAAAGTTGAAGAGGGATGGGAAGAGCACATGCCACGAGCTTGCCAGATGCACTTGTGTGTCAATCTCCTTTGCCACAGGTCGTAAGCTCTCCCAGGGCACGTGCAGCTCCAGTCTCCTGGGGACGGACGCCCGAGGCCGCAGTTCCGGCTCTGCATCTCGCTCCTCGTGCTCGGTGGGACCTGAGTTAGCTGGGTGGATCTGGGCCTCCCAAAATCATGCTGAATTAAGCAAAACAACACACCACCAACACCTTGCTTCAACACCTTGGCCCATTTGTTCAACACCTTGGCCCATTTTGTTTGGTTGTGTCTTGTATTGCATCTGGCTTTCCTCCCCAGAACAAAACAATAGCCTTTGCTCCCAAGCTCTGCAGGAGCTGCGGCACCCCCCGCCTCTCGGACATGTAAAACAACACGTTTTCGTTGTTTTGTCACATGCCCGAGATGCACATGTACCGCCATTGCATGTCCTTATGAAGAGAACTGACTCCCATCTCCCCCTTTTTAACATGGATCACCTAGGACTGCCGTACACGGCTCGCTTGCCGTCCTTGCCCGTACTTTTCAGCAACACTGAAAGGCTTGCCCGAATGAATCCATGACTGTTTGCGGGTGAAGACATTCTCTTTCACCCATACAGCATGTGACTCTTTACGTCACATCAACCCCCAAACAGAGCCCGCCCACTGCAGCCGTTGGACGCTTTGTTTCCCTCTTCGCGGCCCTGCGGAGGGAGTCAGAGACCTCGTCCACGGAGCCTTTGAGAGAGCAGAGGAAGCTCCAGAAGACCTCGGCACTTTTCACCTCGACCTCACCATTGAAGAAGCTCTCCCCGCACTGTCGGGTCTTTTCAAAGGCTCTCCGGTGCCGCAAGCCCGACATGAGAACTCTTGAGCCATCGAAGACCACTCAAAAGAAGAGAGGAGTTCCATCAAGACTTGGGTGAACATGAGTGATTGGAAAGCTAGGCTTTAGGATGCTTTACGCTTGCATTAGAGAGAGTCGCGGTTTCCCTCTATTCCGACTATAGATTCCCCACAAGAATCTGTTCTTGGAAGTAGCAAGCAAGTTTGCCGCAGGCTGAGGTGACCTTGTCCTTGACCGACGCAGCACCAGCTTGCTCCCGAACCATTTTCGTTGGAGACAGCTCAATGGAGAGGCCAAGTGTAATCAAACTGAAACACGGCTGTCAACAGGTGTTTATATCATTCAACAATCTGTTCAAGAATGTGTTGTTTAAGATATTTAAATATAATATAGATGCAATCGAGGTCCTGGATCATCTCACAGAAACACAGCTCCCGCTCTTCATATCTCTTCATTTTCTACTCGCACGCGCAGAAGGGATTTCACCCTGAGACTGCTCATGGCCACAATGGGAGAGCTGCTTCAGCAGAGTGAGGCTGTCCCTCCAGCCGGAGTGAACAAAATGAATCCGTTGAATGCTCAAAAATCAGAACTCGGACAGCCGGCCCAAAGTGAGATCCGATGACCCTTTTTCGAGCTGCCCAGAGCTCAACCTGAAGTGGACTGAGCCATGGCCAGGTGCTGCAAAAAAGCACGTGTCTTCCTCTCATCCCACCATCCCACACCAAATATAAATCGCTAAAATTATGCCGCCCGCCAAAGTCCCTTCCTCAGAAACGGACTTGTGCCAGCTGAGCAACATTCCGATGCAAAACTGTCAGGATCGAGCTTGGCACTGAACCAAGAATGTGCCTGTGCGCCCTACCCGATCCTGGTCCTCAACTCAAGAGGTCCATGAATTAGCAACCATTCACCTTCGGCTCTGGGGCCTTGCACAAGAGGATCCATTTCAAGTTGCGCAAAGAACTCCTCAAACCCTCGAGGCGGGGGACAGTATTGAGACCTGGGTCGACCCAACCGCGGCTGATGCGGCGAAACACGGTAGGCGGCATAGCGCTCTAATATCTGTCTGACCTGGAGGTGCTCTTCTCTGCATCCTGCGCACTGGTAAGCGATGCGACCCCACACATCTTTAGCCTGAAGATCTGCTCCAAACACCAGCAGCTTCGAAGTGATGTGGGCATCATTCTGCTTCACCGCTTCATGCAACGGATAGGTCAAAGGCCATCCGCGCTTGGAGTTGACGTTTCCTGGGTCAAATCCATTCAAGAGGAACATCCCGACGGATGTCCGATCAGGTCCTGGGGCCGTGGATTTCGCTCAATTTAAACACACGAACGGCCACCAACCACGAATAGAACACCCTGCAAACGAACCCCTGAATTTTGAGATCTTGAACTGGTAACGAATTCAAAGGATCCACAAAAAATAAGAGGAGTAACTGCTGCAGCTCTGTTGACTACTCAGGTAGGATGCTGGGAATGCAAAAAGCCTACAGACACTATCAAGTGACCGCTCATCTGAACGATCTGTAGAAACTGTTGAATCTTCAAATGGTTCTACTTCCCCGCAAGGCAGTGAACCTCAAAGTCATGGCAAGTCACAGTCTTGCTGTGATGCCCTTTATGTTCACCTGCTCTCGCCTGGCTTCTCCGTTGTTCCTGCTGAGGTGAGGCCGTCATGCCCGTGAATTCGTGCATCCAGCAAAGTTGCCGGAGGCCTTGCAAGAAGATGCAATGACCAGGTGCCGAAACCAGGTCTCGAACCCACGGCTGCCAGACCCGCAGAGGGTGACACTCGACTTTCAGCCGACCGATCCACTCGTCCGGGCTGGTCCTTTTTGGTCCTTGCTTCGACCTCCAACACGGCAACAAAAGACGAACTCCTAAAGCTTCGTCCATTCGGAGTTCGTCCAATCACAACCCAACAAATCGTCAGAAAACGGGCGCCCGCCCCGTTGTTCCAGAGCCCCCCCGCATTCTCTGCGCGGAGCAGCGGCGCCTCAGCTGTCAGAGTCGACGGCCCATTCCATACAGCACAGTAGTCCGATCGCACTCCAAATACATCGCAACCTCAAGCATCCTGGACCGCCCATTTCCGCGCCCAAGACTTTTAGACCACCCACTCTTTCGTTTCGTCTTCTGTTCCAACTTGGCGTCCGAAGGACCGCGGAGCCCGCGTCTCGCGGAGCCCGGCGGTCTCGGTGCTCCGCCCACCGCGGTGTCCAGCCGGGCCCCCCGAGCACCATCCAAAGAATCCGCCGTGTGAAGGCAGCCCTTCTCGACTAAACACCTCAAGGTGGGAAGGCCAACTTGTGCAAGGTAGAGCCGAAGACAATGGCAGCTTTGCCCAAGCTTTTGATACGCACTGTGATCATTTGTTTCCATACTTGAATGGAACAACATCGAGAAAACTCTATATACATAGAGAGAGAGAGAGAGAGTTCCTTCGTGCCGGCGCGCAATCTTGCAGGGCACATAAACCTGATTGCAAGTCCTATAAAATTAGTCGAGCTTGACCTCCCACAATGGCTGTGTTTCCAGGACACAGAATGGGTTTTCTCAGTCGTCGTCGGTTTCTCTCGTCAACTCGCACGTGGCCCTGTAAGCCTTCCGAAAATCACCCCCCCCTGGAGAGTTCGCGTGAATCTGCCGTTCAAAGAATACCGCTTAAGTCCAGTAGCAAAGGCTTCGACAAGTCACCTGGTCAACGAAAAAGACTTCTGGGATGCCAAGGCACTGCTTGGATGGCGTCATGATCATGTAGTGACCTGCATCGCCGTGTTCGGACTTCTTTGGGGCGCCATGCTGTGCCAAAGTTTGCCATGCTGTGCCCAACCCCCCCCAAACACATGTTTTCCCAGTGTTTCACATCTTTTCCCAGTTGGAAGGTGACAACCATGTCATGTCCGCCCGTGAATCACCCGTCCAGTCCAGCTCCGGTCGTCCAGGGACGGTGAAGCTCGTCGTGCCGGGACGGTGCAAGGCCTCCTGATTCTCTCTGATTCTCTCTGATACAAGAATATACAGAACTTGGTACCATTGATTCTGATACACGCTCTTATTCTTGATTGTATGATATATTCTTGGTACCATCTCTCTTATTCTCCTGATTCTGATACACGCTTGACTTTACAAGGATCAAAAAGGTGGAGATACGCGAGAACTTGGTACCATTGATCCCCGAAAAAAGGTACACAGCATGAGCGATGCTTTTAGATACAACATGATACCACGACCACGACCTCGCAGTCTCTCAGCATGGCGATGTTGCCCAAATGCAGACTGGAAAAGGACCAACTCTATGAGCTTCTCATGTGCATCGCATCCCGTTCAGCTGAGTGTTCTCTCCACCGGCACACTCAAGGCACCTCCGACGTCTTCGAGCAGATCGTTGGGTCCCCCGGACTCTCGTCACCCCTGTAGTACACGATGTTTTGCAAGTCCGCACCAACCTCACCGCGGTTTTGCGCGGTCCTCTGAATCCGAGCCTAGGAGAAAAGGTCGCATCAGCGGCTAAAATGGAAGATCTTTCAGCAGCTGGTGTTGCCAGATGTGGCTAAACGACACAACCAGCGCCAGTTCCCACCTTGTCCTTCAACTTCTTAAACAGCTCTGTGTTGAACTGCCTCCGCAGGATTCCCCCAAGAAAGGCTGGGTCTTTCTTTACGTCACTCGTTTCTGGCATCTCGCCAGGATTGAAACCATGCACCGGGTTAGCAGGGGACGCCTGGAAACCACAGCGACACATCGATGGATCGCTTCCAGTGTGCTGCCGTTTCCCGTCATTTGCCAGTGGTTCCCCACCCCCTTTTCTGAGCCTCGCCCACGAGAATTGCCGCAGGTTGCGCTCGCTGGAGGTCTTACCTGGGCATGTTCAGTGGTGGGCACCGGAGTCACCGGTGGGGACCCAAATGGGTCACACCTCAGGCATCCCGACCATTCAGAAAGTTGGCCACGACGCCGATGGCCTGTGTCCCCAGGGAGTGCTCCACTCACCCGTCTGGAACAGTCCCGAGATGTCCCGAGTGTGTTGGCCCCTTTTGAGGAACTTAGAGGGAATTGAAGGGTCTAAAAAGCGGTCTCATGATCCCTGAAGGAGATCTGTGAGAAGGCACTAAATTGTTCAAGTAGCATGTGTCGCAGCTTGTTCGGGTCACCAGCTCTGCTCCAATTCATGGCATGTACAAAATCCAGTCTCAGCTGTTGCACTCCGAGTTGTTTAGAACAGAATCCTACAGAGCCTGGATGGTTATCACATGTTATCACATTAAAGGGTCCATGTCTTTCACGAACATCGATGGAAAAGAACCTACTCCTTTCTTTGTCTTCGCTGAATTTCGACTGGCTGACCATGGAAGACCCCCAACTACCATACATCGCCTGGGCAATTTTGGCCTTTCATGGGAAGGATCAACAAGTAGAGTGAGTGCCCAACGAAAAGTATGAACGATGGCTATGCCTGCTTTCAACCACGTCAACATCTTGCGCGACATCACTGCCTGCCCTTCTTTGCCCAAACCACCAGCAATAGTAGCAGCACCTGCCAGCTAAGTCTGCTATGTGCTCTTCATGCGCACATTCATCCGTCACCTCAAAAAATCGAAGTACCCCAAATAATGCTGTGTTGAACGAGCAGGTAAAACCATGCGTTGGGACTGCCTGCCTCCCATCCTAATTTTTTTGGAATCCTAGGCGCAGCTGTGCTGCAGCAGGATTGATGTTCACATCTTCAAGTGGCCTTTCCCTTGGGGGATTTGTGCACCCATCACCTTCTTCGATGCTCCTGTGGCCCACTGTAGGATTGTCTCGGTGCTGGTTCCCTGGATCTCCACCTCCAGCTCGATATCTTGAGGGCCCCTGACTTGATTCCCCTTTACCAAGCCGGCAATCTCCCCAGACTTGCCCCAATACCTGCACGTCTCCACTTGCATCTGCGTACATCAGCTTGTGATCCGCAGCTAGGCCTTTCAAGCCTTTTTGCATCAACTCACAAGCATGCCCAGCAACATGACATGTGTGTGTGTGTCCCCCTCCGTTTGTAGGAGGTTTTGAACACGCAGGGGAACAGGCCAGATACATCGTCGCCTGGTCAACGAAGCTGGCGATGTATCTGCGGATATGGAAATGGGACGCCATTTCCACGTACCTCCACTGCTGTACAGGGCAACAGAAGGAAATGGTTCTCGGCGGACTTGTGCGTCGGTTCCTTTCCTTCTGTTGACCCTTTTCTACTCGAATGGGGCGATTCGCAAGTCTCGCCCGCTAGCTACAAACTGCAATCTTCATTTCCTTTTCTAGCTATTTCCTACCCCATTCGAAGCGACTCCTTTGGTCTCGCTTCCAGATGGAATTTAACCCATTATGCACGGCCGTAATTCGAGACCGCTAAGTATTCAGTAACTAAACTGCTGCAGTCAAGTGAAACCACCGCTGTTCAAACATTCAGTTTCCGTGGACTCAACCACCTTTCCGTTGCAGCATTTCTTTCATGTGGATTATGGCATTGGATGAACCTGATCTAAGTGTGATTCGCTGTGCTTTCCCACTCTGGTGCGCAGTGATCCCCTGCAACGGGGCGCCGAGACCACTGTGATTTTGGTGTGACTTTCTCGTTCTGCAACTGTGGATTCTGGTTTGGATTATTTTGTTTCACCCATGGGTCAACTGACAACAAAGCTGCGAACTTACGGATTTCACACCGCCGGGCCTACGTTTTACACACACATGTACACACACCCCTTCCCCCCTCCCCGCTCTCTCTTGCGCTTTCTTCGTTTTTTAGGTGTTCTTTCAGGCTCGTTAGGTGGTTCTTGAGCTTGAGGCTCGTTTCCCTGCCCCTCGGGTTTGGGTTCTTTCTCTCTTGCCTGTTCGTTTCTCTTTGGGTTTTTCCGCTGGAGGCTTTTTAGGTTTGTAATGAGGTTTTCCTTTTTTCAAGGGCTAAGTAGTCAAGTGCTAAGTAGTCAAGTCAAGGGCTGGGTATTCACTGGCTTAGGACCTAAGTAATCTCCAATGTCCAAGCTGTCTACTGCGTTGTTGCCTTCTTAATGCCCCCGTGTGTGTGTGTGTGTCAAACCCTGTTTCCAAGGGTCTAATTTAATTTAAAGCAGGGGGACAGAGCTCTCTGATGCTACTCTGTCCAACGAAGCTAGGCATCAGAGAGGGAAGCATCCGCTGGCCATGGATGTGTACCTGCTTTAACGGTTGAACAAGCTGTCCAATTGACCTCGTTTGTTTTCATGGTTCTTCATGATACTCCCCCTAAACCTTCCCACTGCGTTCTTGCAACTGGGCCGCACGTTTTCGTGAGCGTTTCGTTTTCGTGCTTTCTGCAGACTTCAAACCATTTTGTTCAAACATCTACAAGTTTTGCGGACTCTTCACCTTACCGTTCTTCACCTTCCTTCCCAACGTGGCAATTGAGTTAACTGAAAACCAATGTCAGAGTGTGAGCCGCTCAGTCTTCCCACTTGGGTGCTGGGTGTGACCCTCCGAAAGGAGGCGCCGAAACCATTCCGGAATTCACTGGTCCTTCATATTTATAACTGACCCTTTGCTTCTTCACTTTCATAACTGAATTAACGGAGTTTTGAGCCGCCGGGCCAAAAAACGGACAATCTCAACCACCGAATCCAGAGCCGCCGGGCTATAAAACGGCAATCCACCCGCAATGAGGCAGGTTTCCCAACCCCCCCCCCCAGCCGAGTTCTACTCCCTACCTATTTAGGGCAACATAGGGAAATGGTACTCGACACACTTGTGTGTCGGTGCCTTTCCCTGTGTTGTTCCTGTTCTAGTCTATCCTACCCGGGCGGTCTAAGACTAAAGTCCCGCTCCCTAGCCACTTAATTCATCTCTGCTAAGTAATCAGTAACTCTAGAGTACACTGCCAATGTGTGGTTCCAGTATGACTCAGCTGTACACGATACAGGTGGCCATTGTAGGGGGTCACAACAGCTGGCGCAACAGCAGCTGGCTTTGTATTGTTAAGGCGCTCCACAAGCTCTTGTGCTGACTTGCACTTGCACTGGTCACTGACCTGTTTCATGTGTTCTTTGTGGAGTTCAATAATCTGCTGCAATGCAAGCCTTAGGAACAATGTGACACAATGAGCCACCCAATTAAGGAGTGTGACTCATGTGTTGAAAATGCCAAAAGCATCAAAGCTGAATACAGCAAAGATTCTCAAGGATTGGATGGCTTTCACAAGCAGCACGTTCTACCACAAAGTTTCCATCACCATATTGCCTTGAAGTATGATTGGTCACTGTACACTTGCTCACACATACTATGTGCTATGCATAAACTTAAACAGCTCGCTCGCTGTAAGATGCATGCTAGACACTGTTTGCAAATGTGTGGTGCTGTACTAAGAGATGTTGAGAATTCCTTTGCAGCATCCAGAAGCCTCACCCAGCTGCAACAGCAGTTTGTTAAGTTGAACATTGTGCGCAGTCTGAAAACTAGTAGAAAAGTCAAAGCACATAATACATGTTTCTTCAAGTGCAGTGAACCCACCAGCCACATAAGGGCAAGGAACGCTCGTGTTGGATCTTGGTGCTGAAGCAAGTTCATGATGTTTGTGCCCATGCCCATTGCAAGGCAATACTCAAGCACATGTTCAGTACCAATGTGAATCTCCATCCGTCAAGGGTCAGTGGATACTACTGGGGACCTATACTGTCAACCTGTAAGCCACCTGCCAAACTGCAGTACAAGCAAACCATTTAACAGTTAGTAACAATAAACTGCCAAATATGCCTTGACATCCAAGAGAAGAGTCACCTCCGGTAATGTTGAACCATTTCATGATTTGCCTTTTAAAACGGAATGTGTGCATACATCAGCATATTTTCATTTTATAGCTACATGACACATTGTGTACCAATTAAGAACAATATCCAACACATCAGTTTGATAATGACTTCATAGCTCACTATACAAATTTATATACATCCAACTTACGTTAGCTTCAAGACATGTGGTATGTAGTATAAAGAGTATACACAACTTGTGTTACCAGAAAAATATATTGAGATTGTAAAAATGTAGTTAATAAGCATATCTAAAATGTCCACTAGCTGCATAATATCTTCATTTTTTATTGGCCAACAAGTTGCTGGATCAAAGTAATATTATACAGCGTAATATCCATCTTGCTTTGTACATTACATCTGCAAGCACATTCATGGCATGATGCATGCCAGTGGTGTGCTCCAATCTCAGTGCAGTGCAGTTGTGCGCTCCAACCTCAGCACAGTGCAGCTTGCAATCACCACATTCAACCAATAGTGCCTTTCCTGAAAGATCTATTCAATATTTAATGCAGTTGTTGTTCACCGAGGATGCTAAGCTTACAGTAGATGTCATGCGCAAGTTACAGTGGTGCCATTGGTGGCGGGGATTTAGCCTGACAAGGCTGATTTTATATTTGTAGAGTGATCAAGGAAAAGCAGCTGAAGCATGGGCTAATGACCTTTGGGGGTAGTGCAGCGCATCTATGACCAGGTCTTTGGGAATATCCAGGACTTTAATTACAATCCATGCCAGACCCTTGAATGAAAACAAATTAATTAGTAATTAGGCAGGTGTAAAATTAAAAGCTGTCAAGTTGTGGTTTGTACAACAGCTGTATCACAGTGTGATGTTCTCTTGAAATCAGAGTCACCTAAGTAGCACAAGCTGGTGGCAGCGAGAGCCGCTCGTGTGGCTTAGCGTAAGACCACCTGACCATCCCCATCCCTGTAGTACTAGTAGAAGGCCAGGGTTGTATCTACATTAGAGGCTACTTTACTAACTTTCTAGGCTAATTCATGAGCTTGCTGTCAAGTCCGGCCGTGTAGCTTGGCTCGTTCAGCAAGTAGTGTAAACTGGTGGCAGTGAGAGCCTCCAGTGTGGTTTAGCATAAGACCACCTGACCATCCCCATCCCTCTAGTACTAGTTGCTGTGCAATAGTTCTTGAGGCCCCAACATTGTTTGTGCTCAATGCATCATGCAGACCTCGCAAATGATGAGTCTGGAAAACATCTGGAAAACTTAAGATTTCCAGACACCGGCTTCATTTCCAGACAAAATTCCAGACACTAGCTTCATTTCCAGACACTTTCCAGACAATCTCACTACAGACATGACATGAGTCAAAAGTTGTGAGCTGGCTGAGGTCCTTGCCATATCGGCCCTGACTGTAAACAGACACCTCAGAAATTTGGAATGCTTTGATGATTTGACTGTTCAAACGGAATATGTGCATATTTCAAACAAGTTATACATCACATAATGTAATTGTCAAACATATAGGGTTGGTAATTGCTATGTAACCACTATATACCATAATTCACAGAAGTTACATACACATCATAGTATTGTTTAATACATAAACATCCAACAACTATGTTGGAAATATAGACTTTATAATAGCAATAGATATGTTTGTCACATTACTAGCATATTGTATCCAACTTATGTTGGCCAACAAATATGTTGGTTGATAGTAGTAGTAGCTATATCCAACTTGTGTTGGACAATGCGATATCCAACAACTATGTTGGAAGATAGCTATAGCAATTTATGTTCTTTATCTAAGAAAACTCATGTGCTATAACCAGGTCATAACCAGCTTCAGTGTGAACAAACTCATGAAACAGAACAGCAAATGTTGAGTTTATATGGCATGGGTCATCATCCACATGAAAGTTAGTTACAAAACTGGGTGCCCACCACTCTTCAGCCTCAAGGTCCTGGTGTGCAAAACAAAAAGCAAAGGTTTTACTTTAGTCCAAATCACAGAAACAATCAGCAAGGAACACAAAACCACACAGCAATGCGCTCAGATACACTTCTCAGGCACTTAGAAACAATGCACTCAGGCACATTTCACCGCAATCAGGCGCTCTGCACTCTGCACTTTTTGCCATCAGCAGCGCCGCCGTCGGCGAGGTGGCTTGTTGTCCATGTACCACGTCAGCCTTGGAGTCAATGAACAAAACATAAACAAAAGTTGATGCTAAAGTTAAAGTACCCAAATCAACCAACATTTGCATACATCAAAAGTGACACTAACTATTTAACATTCAAAAACTTACAAGTTATATCCAAAGAAACTCTTCTTCAAAGTCGCTGATGTCCACACATCTGGATGGAGGCAAGTCAGGATCTCGCAGCTCTTTCACACGGCTTGCCTCAGCGGATTTGCCAGATGTGAACAAAGAAAGTTGCCTTGCCGCATGTGAACAAAGAAAGTTGCCTTGCCACATGTGAACAAAGAAAGTTGCCTAAACAGCCAAGGAACAGCACCAGCAAATGTCGAAAAAGGGCCCCTGTCCACCAGGATGGAAGCCAGCGCTGCAGGGCTGCGATTTGCACCGCGCTCACAGTGGACGATGGCCACCTCTGCCCCATCCACAAAGTCAAAGAGCTGGTTCAGCCTCAGATGCTGTCAAGTGCATGAGGCCCACATATTGCCGTTCAAAAAAAGTTACAAACAAGCCTATAGACTTTGAGACTAACAGTCACAAAAAGCAGAAAATACCAAAACAGCCATGAAACAGCTGATACATCTTCTGAACTCCTCCTGACTTGCCCTGGTTGATGCAGTTCTGCGGGTTCCAGGCAAGGACTTGAAAGCCAAGGTGGGCACCAAACTGTTCAGCATGCGAGCTTCTCCTCAGATGCAACACCCAATCCACTCAACCAAGAAAAGCTGCTTAGAACAACATACACCTGTTTGCTGAAACAAATAAATGCAAAGTTTCATCTACCAATGACTCACCAAGGATCTGTTGATTTTGGGCAGTGATGATTCTGATCCGGGAAGCGTAGGTCTGCAGATCACTGTAATTAAAGTAGCCGCCCAGGAAGATGTCGCCGGCAATCTGGGTCCTAAGCCACGTGCTAAGTTCAGGGAGGAATGAAGAGAAGCAGCAATGACCTTGAACCTGGTTTTCCTTAGGTGAAAGCCCGCCCATGGTTAAAAATCAAACTGTTAAAAATTAGCAAGCTGCCCAAACCTGCCAAGACACAGTGGTGCACCGTTTTGATCTCGAACTGCCCTCAAAGCTGCAAGCAACTGCGGGTCCTGAGAGGGTCACCAAAAGCAAATTAACATGGAAACCAACCTTTCAACTTGGCAGCTACATTTGATAAACCTTTTGCAAACACTATGCATGGAACATCTAAACACCATGCATGGAACATTGAAACACCTTTGAATTTAAGCAGTGTCCTTCGGGCCAGCTGGAGCGGCAGGTGGCCTCTCTCGAGGCATCGGCTTTGCCTTTGGTTTTGGCTCTGGCTGGGTTAGGTCCACCATGGGTGTTGTAGGGTTTCTTGTTCTTGGTGGTGGATAGGCAGGTGGTGTGGGGCCTGCTGTTGTCGGACGTGGCACTGCTTGCTGTTGTTGGAGGTAGTGCTACAGGTGGTGTGGGGCTTGCTGTTGTTGGATGTGGCTCTGTGGGTGGTGTGGGGTATGCTGTTGTTGGATGTGGCTCTGTCGGTGGTGTGGGGTTTGCCGTTGTTGGTGGCTCTGTAGTAGGTGGTGTGGGGTTTGCTGCTCTCCAAGGTGGTAATGGCTCTGGCGGCTGGGGTGGGAACGCCGGTGAGTGCTAGGTATTCAGACACACACATGTACACACACATGGACATACAGCCCCTCCCTGCCCCCCCCGCTTTCCTTCTTGCGCTTTTCGTCGTTTGTTGGGCTTTCTTTCAGGCTTTTTAGGTTGCTCTTGAGGCTCGTTTCCCTACCCCAGTCAAGGGCTAAGTATTCACTTTTTCTACACCTACCTTTCTTTCTTGCCCTCTTAGCGCTGCTCTTTCTGTCTTTCTTTTCTTTTGTTTCTAAGGCTTTTTAGGTGACTATTCAGGTCTTTCACATGCGCGCCGCGAAGCGGCACCGTGTGTGTGTCAAACCCTGTTTCCAAGGGTCTAATTTAATTTAAAGCAGGGGGACAGAGCTCTCTGATGCTACTCTGTCCAACGAAGCTAGGCATCAGAGAGGGAAGCATCCACTGGCCATGGATGTGTACCTGCTTTAACGGTTGAACAAGCTGTCCAATTGACCTTGTTTGTTTTCATGGTTCTTCATGATACTCCCCCTAAACCTTCCCACTGCGTTCTTGCAACTGGGCCGCACGTTTTCGTGAGCGTTTCGTTTTCGTGCTTTCTGCAGACTTCAAACCATTTTGTTCAAACATCTACAAGTTTTGCGGACTCTTCACCTTACCGTTCTTCACCTTCCTTCCCAACGTGGCAATTGAGTTAACTGAAAACCAATGTCAGAGTGTGTGTGTGTGTGTGTGTGTGTCCCCCTCCGTTTGTAGGAGGTTTTGAACACGCAGGGGAACAGGCCAGATACCAGCGGATATGGAAATGGGACGCCATTTCCACGTACCTCCACTGCTGTACAGGGCAACAGAAGGAAATGGTTCTCGGCGGACTTGTGCGTCGGTTCCTTTCCTTCTGTTGACCCTTTTCTACTCAAATGGGGCGATTCGCAAGTCTCGCCCGCTAGCTACAAACTGCAATCTTCATTTCCTTTTCTAGCTATTTCCTACCCCATTCGAAGCGACTCCTTTTGTCTCGCTTCCAGATGGAATTTAGCCCATTATGCACGGCCGTAATTCGAGACCGCTAAGTATTCAGTAACTAAACTGCTGCAGTCAAGTGAAACCACCGCTGTTCAAACATTCAGTTTCCGTGGACTCAACCACCTTTCACTGTGGATTATGGCATTGGATGAACCTGATCTAAGTGTGCTCCGGTCTCAAAGCAGATCAAAAAATCATCCACCTTCTACCGGTGACAAAGAAAAACACTACATCCGGAGGCTAACGGGGTGAACACAACGATCTCTCGGCATGTCCAAGCACATCCCGTGCGTCAATGGCCGTTTGGACCCCGCGCGCCCTTGGAAGCGTGTGAGAGGAACCAAAGGAATGAGAGGAATGTGCCCAGTCCTTGCGATTCGGGTTTCACCTGACCCCGAAACAATCATGAAACCTCCGACGAAACATCAAACGATCATATGCAATAAGTGATGGCCAGAATTTGGGGCGGCCGAGGGATTGACGTCAGGGGATGGTCAGGGGAGTACGCCGCCATGTCTCCCTCCCATTCTGAATCCACCCGCGACGGGCGACCCAAACTCAAACCATAGATTCTTCTCCAATTCCCACCCGCAAGTCAAAAAATCCGGCACTCATCGGCGAAATCCTCAGGCTGCGGCTTCTACCAAAAAACGGGGCTCGGGACGGTCGGGAATCGACCGGGAACGGCTTCGACACCGCTCCTTCGACACCGCTCTTCGAAGGCCCCAGATCCGCTCCGCCTTTGGACTTGGCGATCCGAGAGGCGGCGCCATCGCCTGACGGCGCCCAAACGGATGGCACGCGAGCTGCTCGGCCTGAGCCGAGCGGTCCCAAAACACCTGGATGGGGTCTGGAAAAGGAGTCTTGATGCAAAAAAGGTTAAGGAAAGCAACAATAACATAATAAACATGAGATAGACTAAAGTTCAGGCACACCAATGATCGCGAACGATTTCGACCAATGGTGGTGCTGCCCTCTAGCAACGTGGGCGGCATGGTGACGGGTGGTTACGTTCAGTCCCAGCGTCAATACCGGCACATGCAGTCCCTACAGTTGAATCATCGTCCACTCACTGGAACTACCATGGAAGTGGATGGCATGGCCCCTTGAAACATGTTCCATACCAAACCAGGGGGGTGAAATCACTTCACTTCCACCATGTGTTCCACGACGTTCCAGCTTTACTTCTTCTTATGAACTCAATGAAGCGATTGGGCGTCCCTGCAGCAGACCAGCGCGTCCACTCTTAGCTCCTGAGGTACCTCACCGGGCAGACCATCGGAGCCCAGCGACTTCCAGGGATTCGGTGGTGTAGTGAGCCACATGGAACCAATGGGACCAGTGAGCCACCACGGAACGTTCCAATCGCTCTGTCAAACACGCCCGGCCAAAGAATGTGTCGCAACTCTCACGCTTTGAAATCCATGCTCTCAACCTGGTCCAGTGCAGGGCGCTATGAAGGCCGCGGAGGAACAATACCACACACCATGTTCGGGCAAACAAACGGCTCTGCTTAGTCAAGCAGCCAGTGGAGGCTCTGTTTCGGCGACCCATCCTGGCCAATGCAGTCGAGGTGTTCCCGAGGGTTCCCGCCAAAAACAACTGCCTCCCTGTGACTGTGATTCAAATGATATATGATATATACGATGTGTATTGCTAACTAAATTTAAATAACTACGTATAAGTACAGTATACTAATACAGGTTACAAGACCATTAAATTAAAGACATTCAAACTCCATCTCTTCCTTTCACCTTTCTTTTAGCGGCTTCAGCCTCGCCTCCCGATCGGACGACCACATCCCGGAACCTCGTTCCGCATCTTCTCTCAACGCCGCTCGCTCGTTCCGGGGCTCCGGCCAAACCCGGGCGTCGCGCCCGTGAAACCGAAGAACCGAAGGTGGACCATGTCTGGGACCGACCCTGTCTGTTCATGTGCCGCGGAAAAAGTGGCGACAGGGTCTTTTTCTTGGAATAGTGGTCGGTCCTGTCTTATGCATCCGAAAGGTTGATGGAAGCCTCAAAGACATCGTCTGAAACACTTGAACATGCCATGCCATACGGTCCATGTGAAATGGTGGAACCTGAAAATGGTGAGCAGGCTTCAAGCCATTGTCGATCTTCCCTCCACGGCTTTTTTGGGGGACATGCAACGTGGAAGGAAGCCTTACCGGTGGCCTTTTGCCCAAGCTTGAGTCCATGGTCGGTTGATCTCCGAGCTGCGCTTGACCAAGTCCAAAACTATTTATTCATCAAAGGTCAAAGGTTCCAAATAAATGAAGGGAAGAAGGATTGCTTCTTTAACACTCCCAAAAAATATGATAACTGAAAAACCTAAAGATGTGAAAATACACACGAAAAAAAACTAAGTTTGCCACTCATTTCTTCATGTTCTTCCTCTCGAGTGCCTTCCCTTTTGCTGCCCCCCAAGAGTCTTGGTCCACAGGCTCCACGCCCAGCTCGACCTGGGACAAGTCCCACACAGCTCGCATGCGGACTCGACTTGGGGATCTATCCATGTGCGTGTGTGGACACTGTGGATTCAAGGATCTGCAAAACTGTTCGGTGATTTTGTGACACATTATGTGTTGCAGCAGGGGGACTGGATTAAATTACAAAGTGCTTCTGAAATTCTAATCGTGATCTTGCTATCATGATCTTGGATGGCCGTTTCGGTACGTATGTGAGCATCCAATCCCATCGTGATCTGTGAAACCCACAGCGTCTGGTCCCTGTGCTCCCCCGGCAGTGACCCCGAAGAGGAGGCAACACCTGGAAGGCTGATGCGCCAGGGCACGTGTCCAGAGTCATCTTCGGTAAGCCAGGGGCAAGATGCGGCAAGATGTTTAGTGAGGAGTCCAACCCTTTGACTGGAGAAGTGGGTCGCGCCGGCTGCGGTTCTTCTGTGGGTTGCTTGGTGAAACCACTTGATCACTCGGGCCTGGCGTCGCAATGAAAAGCTTCCATCTTTTCCAAGTTGTCAAAGAACCTCTTTAAACTCCACATGAATCATGGCAGAAGATCACAGGATCTTGAGGAGAAATCAAATTTTGTGTGTAGTTCGTCAAAATGCCATTACCGGCCCTTCTGCAATCTACTCCGAATCTCGCCCTGAGTCTCCATCCAATGATCTGACTTCTACTCCGATCCGCCACGTCCGAGGGGGACGGAGGCTCGGTCGGCTCGGTTAGGCTGACCCAGCAAACAGCAAACCCATGCGGCTGAGAGCGCAGGCTTCAACAGCAAATACTGAAGCTCAGAGATGCCAATGTGGCAGTAGTCCTGCAGACTGAGCACACCAGCCGCTTTCCGGGTGAAGGGTCAGCTCACAACCGGCAAACCAGTAGTGAAAAAGAATGGTAACAGTTGAGTTCAGTATTCCCGGGGTACTATATTGTATTGTATTCTTATTTGTTATTGTTGTTTTAGATGTTATTGTTGTTTTTGTGTTGGTTGTTATTTGGCTTGTATTGTATTGCATTGCATTGTGGTGTGTATATATACATCTTATATTGTAATACATTATAGTAATAGTTATATGTTCATATGGTCATGTGTTAAACATAGTTATGTGTATATATATTATACACACATGAAACGATAGTGAGGATGACATGAGGATTGCAAAAACACACAAAACCAGTGAAAAAGTGGGTTGGAAACCTGCCAAACGCGTCGCAATGGTCGGCTATCTGTAAACGCGTCTGTGAGGAGTTTGAGCCAACATGACACTACTCGTATTGTAAGAATCGTACCAGAATGATTTAAAATCTCCATATGTGCTTTCTTTTTCCATCAACAGTCTACCTTCAAACTCCGGCTTCAAAACATCGCCTTGGGCTAACTGACCCAGAGTTGTGTACCCGCCAGCGTCGTTCCTTCTTCAAAGTTGCCCCACACGTGTGGTATGAAGCGAAATGAAGCTGGCTAAAAATGAGTTCCCCCTTTTTTGTCCAAAAAAAGGGGATGGTGTGGCTCTCATTCTCGTTCTGAAGCCATGGCACCCCACCATCTCCACGGGTCTGCTCCAGCTCTCCACGGCTCCGGCACGATCTCCGCTCCCGCTGCCTTGTCCGCTCCAAAGGTCCCACCGGGCCTCGGCTTTCGGCGAAGAGCCCATTGTTACTACTTGACAACACGCAATGTGTATGACTGGAGGAAGAAACCGTGTCAACTTGGAGATTGCATTTCAGTCAAAAGGTGATCAAGACTAGTTGCAAGAGAATTTGCTTTCGCTGAAGGAAAGAGAGATTACATTTTCTCACCAGCGACTTCAGGACATGTACTGAAGCTTCTACCCACAATATTCTTGCAAAGGATCAGTGAAGAGGAAGAAGCAAGAGAGGGAGAAGGAGCATTCTCACAGGTGCTAGGATGTCTTGATGTGAAAGACGCATTTCTACAGCTTCCACAAGAAAAGCCATTGAAAGTGAACTTGAGAGAAGAATTCTTGGCGAAGAGAAATTGACCTGGACAAAGAGTTGACTTTTTCACAGAGTACCTCACAGAGGAACTCAACAAGTTCAGTGCTGAGTGTCCATGTCTGGGAAGAAATGAGAAGAGTATCATGTTGATCCATGTGGATTACTTAATGTTCACAGGAGACTCAAAGTACATCAATGAAATCTTTCTTCCAAAGATTCAAGGCAAATTCGACACCAGTGTGGGCAAGATTGAGAGGATTGGTGATGTGTTCAATTTCCTGAGGAGAAAGTACAAACTAGAAGTTGATGGACTATGGATCCAACCAGGCAACCACATACAGCAGATGTTGAAAGCCTATGAAGAGCAGATTTGATTGGTCAAGCTCCAGCAACTACCAGCAGACAACTCAATCCAGATGGAAGACAAGTCAGGAGTCTTACATGAGCAAGAGAAGATTAGCCTTTTCGGAAGCATTGTTGGATCAGGTATCTATCTACGTCAAGAGAGGTATGATGTAGCATTTGCAGTGAAGGAATTGGCTTCAAGAATGTCAAATCCTACAGCTATGTCATTTCATCACTTGAAGAAATTATTGGGATACTTGAAAAAGACTATGGACTATTGTCTAGTACTTGAATATCCACAAGCAGGAGAAGGTTATGTCAAGAAAGGAGAAAGCCATTGGTGCTTGGAGACATTCTCAGACTCAGACTGGTGTGGAAACAAAAGCCACAGAAAGTCAACATCAGGAGGATTCCATTCATTGAACAGTTGTCCACTGTTCAACAGCAGCAGGACACAGAAGATCATTAGCTTATCTTCATGTGAAGCAGAACTACATGCAATAGTTTCCTCAGCACCAGATGGAATCTATATTCGCAAAGTTCTTGAATTTGCTCTTGGGGCAAAGGTGGACCATTACATCTTGATTCATCAAGCGCACGCCAACTTGTCATGAAGAGAGGAGTTGGAAAGGTGAGACACTCAGATGGAAAATTGCTATGGATTCAAAACAGGAAAGACTTCAAGATGGTACAAGTACCAACAGATAGCAACGTGGCAGACCTCAATACAAAGCCACTTGGAGGACAAAGAATCAGATACTTGATGAACCTCGTCATTGGTTGTTGGCACAGTGATGACCAAATCAGAGTAGGAGAGTATGTGAGAAGGGTGTTTGATGAGAAGAATAATTTTGCAGGAAAGGTCACTAAGATTGCCAAAATGATTGTCAGAATGGTTGCTTTTGAGGGCTTGCAGCCAATGGTTACAGATGCATTCTTGAAAGCAGAAGACAACATCCAGTGTGGATTGGAAGATATGAAATTGGAGGAGATGAAGGAATCCAAACTGGAAATTTTGGATCATAGTGATCATTGCAATCAACATCATTTGCCTTGAAACAGTAATATTTGCACTATGGAACGTCTACAGGCTAGTTGAAAAGTACCATGATGAACTCTACTATCGTGTGGAGAAGGGCTATTGGGAGTCATGGGAATATACAGAACAGACAATGCAGAATTCCAAATTACAGAACTCAGTAGCGACATCAGAGACATGGAAGACTATGAAGAGAGAATGGAACTTTTACCCAACTACGCCACTACGCCAGGAGAATTCATTGTGGATTGATTCTCAATGGAGGCTTCATTGAACATGAAGTACCAGACCAGTATGATGTGCTAGGAGAGTTGAATGCAGGAAACTCCTTAGCCAGAAGGAGTTTGGAAGACATGCAAGCAACAGAAGGACAATTTTGGGGACACAGGGTAATGTTGCAGGCAGCTACAGATGGAGCAACACCATCAGAAGGGATATTAAACCGAAGATTCAGAATAGGTAACAGGGAAAGATCAATGAGAGAACAATACATCACAGGACAATCAGTACAATTGTGTGGTCGAATGGAAGCAAAACTCCAACAACTTGTGGAGAGACATTACAACCTTCTGCGTAGAGGATTGCAAGAAGCAGCAGACTTAGCTGGAGAAGTACCAAGAACTATTGGATTGCGCAGTCATGAGGAGAGATTTCCAAACAAATCACAAATAGAGACACCAACAAACCCTGGGAACCCAGTTCCTGAAAGAAATGAATAAAGCCTGCAGAGAAACAAGGATTGAATGGAAGAAAATGGACTATGGTGGCAAAGTGAGCTCAAAGAAGCATTTTAGCGTCTCACAATGCCAAGAAGGAGGGTGAACCAGATCAGTGTGTACATGACCTTACTGCAGCCCTTTTGTGACTCAAGAAAAAGTGCGTGTATATATATATATATATATAAACAGAATGCCGGTTCCTTGTGCCGAGTGGCACATTTGAGAACACGTCTTCGCCAAGTTCAGGCGACACTGTGCCCAGTTCATGTCCGAAAACCAATCAGAATCCCAAACCCGGGCACCTCCCTCTCCCGGGCACCCTTGCGGCGAGAAGATCTTGGCACCCCATTGGATGAGGTCCTCCAACATCGCGGAAAACAACACCGCCACGTGTGGCACAACGTTTGCCCCACGGCTTCACCAACACGCACAAGCCCCGATGAAGGCCACGTGGGGCTTAAAGAACGTGTCACAAAAAAAATCGAAGTCGACTACATCGCCAAGTTGATGGATCGGCTGGAGAGAAAAGATGGGGATATTGGCAGCCAGATTGAACATTGATTGATGGAGTCTGAGGAGTCATGGAGTCAAGGAGGCAATTGGTCAACAAATCGACCAACCCTTTTGTAAGCAAGAACTCCAGCCATGAACCGTCAGCTTGGACTTTTCTCGCGGCGCACGCAGCGCGCTTGCTTCGCTGCCCAACCGGTGGTGGCCGTAGGCAGCCTGGAATGGTGAAATTCTCGGAACGAACAATCGAAGTCGATGAGAAGACCCAGCTCTGTGAATAGCCACGAGATTTTAAAAAAGCTTTAAGCCCAGCCTGGATCCTGAGTAAACCCACTGAGATGCTGATGTCCCGCTCAGGCCATTGTTCAAACATCCCAGCTCTTAGCTCTGGCTGCTCCTGCGCAGTTCCTCACATACCTCCCCCCCCTTCAAAACCTTCTACATCACCACTGAAACTCACAAAACCTCCCAAAACCTCCACAGCCCCCGAGTTCCTCGTGCTTTTGGGCGCTTCCGACCTCGCCTCGGAACTCGCCGGAACACCGGAACGGGGGCGCTCCACCAGGCCCAGCTCCGCCGCGCTCAGGACGCCATCCTTCGGCCGATGCGCTACGCGGGTCGGTTGGTCCGGAAGGTCGGACCCGCCGGAAGATGAATCGACTGGAAGATGGCGACTGATGTTTCGTGAGATCAGAAAACCACAATTCAACAGTGCAATTGCCCGCGAAAGTGAAAATCAAGTTCATAGTAAAGAGTATAAAAAAGGTCCAAAGACGTTCGAAGACCTCCAACTGGAATCTGTATAATTTGCCACGACTTGGAAGAATCTCCCTGTGACTTGCTTTCGCGCTTTTGTGCACCTGGAACCTCTGGCTCTGCAGGTGCCTTCCTTTTGTAAAATGCATTAGAATTTTATATAATTCATTCTAGATGGTGCTTCGCTGGGCAACCTTTGGCCATATGTGGCAGAAACCAACATCCATGTGAACAAACACACGAACCCCAAAAGACAAGACAGCCCCTGAAAATCTCTAGAACATTCGATGTCTATCAAGACCCGCGTGGGGTAGCAAATGCACACCCTTTAGCTACTAGCAGGCAGGTGGGAGAAAAAACTCTTTGGAATTAAATGCAACCTTCCAAAAATGTGCCCCTTCTGGAGGAGGGGATTTGGTGTTCTTCTCCCATAAGCGGTTTAGATTCCGGCCCTCAATTCACACCACTAGGGATCAATCTTGAATTGTATCACAACCAAGATGTGTGAGGTTGTACAACCAAGTTTCACATTGAAAAACGTCGCCTAGGTGGTCTGATAGGTGGTCTGATAGATGCAGATTGGCAGCTTCACCTCTTGCTGCTGGCTTGCAAACCCGAAGCTGGCGAAGCCCTTTGCCCACGGCTACAGCGCCTGGTTTGTGTCCATGGCTTCCCAAAGGACGTCCTGGTTTGGTGCGAAGATGCTCTGCAGTGGCAAAGTCAGAGAGTTTGCGAAATCCGCGCCCACCCCATGTGATTTATCCTCCAGTTCCCACCCGCTCTGGGATGGCTCTCCGTCCCTCTTCGCGGTTGGAAGACTGATTCGCTCTGTCTCTCGTCCTGCTCAGTTGGGGTGAGCATGCACCCAGCTTTCTTCAGCGTCTCCATGAGTTCCACTTTGGTCACCCCGCTCGGCGCATCCTCTGCCTCGCCCGAGGAACAGGGGGCGGGTCGTGCCGCGCGGGATGCGGTCCGCGTGCGGTCCGCGCTTTTGGGGGGGCAAAGAACACGAGTTGAACGTTGGTCTCCCTCCAAAGCAAGCCATCCAAGTGTGGAACATTGGAGAGTAAGACGGTGCACAGTATCTTTATTTTGTGTGGGCAGACACTAGGGATTGAACAGGGAAGCCCTCCATTGTGGACCGCAAGTGCACATAGTCAAACAGAGATAAACACGTCATCATCGTCGCATCATCGTCACCTGAACTGGTAGACTTGCTTTTTGAAAAAGACGTATAAATGAGTTCAAAAACGATCCAAACTCGGACTCGGACTTGAATCTAACTCCATCTCACTCCCTCCTTGCACCCACGGTTCACCGTCCAGTCCGTCCGGTTCCCCAAACGGAGAACAACCGCACCGTCACCCATCGCCTCCGTGAGGCTCAAGGCACTCTTCCGGCGCACCTCGTAGTAGGCCTCGTAGTAGGCGAAAAGCGGCAAATGGCGGGGAACAAAACCCAGGCCGCGCAGGTCCAGGTGACATGAGATGTCCATGCACTTCGAGGGATTTCCATGAATGAGGAGATTGCTCAATGTTCCGTGATAACGGAATGTCTATGAATGTCTTGTCTGGTGGCAAGAGGTAAAAATCTGGAACATCTGCGGAAGACGCGTGAAGCCCGGCCTCGTCAAGGCTGTCCAAGGCACATCTTAAGGACTGCACCTGGCAACATCGGACTCGGCCATGGAGCCGCGGACATCCCACCCAAACACTGCACTGCACATTGGTTCACCCTGGTTCACCTCCCCTGCCGATCGTGTGAGACCTCCTCGCGCCTCAAACAGGTGCTTCCGTTGCAGGTGGTGGTAGCGCCGCACACCTGGACTCCACGCTTCCGGAATCCGCCGCGACCGGGCGCCCGGCGCGGGGCGCCGCCCCCCGGTGCCCTTCCGATCCAGCGAGACCGGGCGACCGATCCATGCCGGTCCCCACACTCCATGCTCAGGATGGGGCCTCCCAATAGAACATAGAAGAAAGCGACACTGAAGGCTGTGGAACCACCCATCACCAGCCAGAAGAGGCCCGGCAACTCCTCAACCAAGCGGCAGGTGGAGCATCTCACTTGGGGCAAGCACATCTCACTGTTGAGTCGTATTTGGAAAACCATGAAAATGTTTAGTCAGTTTAGTCAGATATTCATGATATTATGTTTAAAAGAGGAAGAAGAAGAAGAAGAAGAGAAGAAGAAGAAGAAGAAGAAGAGAAGAAGAGAAGAAGAAGAAGAAGAAGAAGAGAAGGAGAAGAAGAAGAAGAAGAAACAAACAACATCTTCACACTTCATGCACTCAACTTATCGCCCCATCCCGTGCCCCTCCTCGAGGCCAATCTGCAGATTCATGCCAAAGAATCCCGCGATCACCGTGCTCACGGCCAAGCTTGATGTTCCCATCCCCATCCTCAGCGCCCACCGGGGGGATTCAACAGGAAGGTGCACCCAGAGGTGCAAGTAGCCGTTGTGGCCATGGCTCTTCAGTCGTTGTAGCCCCGGATTGCCAACAGAAAAACTCTGCTGAGGAGCTTCAGCCATGTGTGGGATAAACAAATCATGGCTGACGCGTGCAGGTACAGGAGGACCTCTTCATGTGAGACGCACCTTTTTGCTGACCTTCATGTCCTACCTTGCTGGCGATGATTGCGGGTGGAAAGAGAATCATTTGCAAGGGAAGCGAGGGAGGGGGCAGCAACCTAGCGCGTGAGTCATTCTGTCCCCAACTTGAGGGATCCTGAGAAAATAAAAGTGGAGGAGGGCCTATGAAATCCATTCAAATCCATGCAAATCCCGGCTGACCTGTGGCTCACCAGTACGGCCAAGAGGGTCAAAAACACCGCTCCAGTCTTCGCCTCTCCCGTCGCCTCTCCGGCCCACGTCCAAGGATCAGAAGCTCCAGCCTGCGGGGTCGGTCTGGAGGAAGAGACCGGAGCATCAACTGAAAGATCTCAAACACATTGCAAAATAAGTAGAAAAGAACCGGAGAAAAAAAACAGATCACAGGAGGTCTCGAAGAACAACTCATTGCAAAATAAGTAGCACAGGAGGTCTCGAAGAACCCAATACACGACCTAGCTGCCTAGCTTGCCTCATGATGCGATTGCGCTCGCTGGTAAGCATCAGTTGTTCCATCTTGCTGTGTGTTTCAACGCCTTGGCACAGTGGTTTGGAGCCACTCAGCAAACAAAACTCCTACCAATGGAGGCCTTAAATGATTGGAAGAGAGATGAGGGAAGGAGAGGCATGCAAGGTTGCTGCCTGTCATAAAAAACAACAGGGATACCACAATGCAGTCTGGTGGCTCTCGTGCAGCTTTTGAATCCGATCTCGCAGATCCTGCGATAAATGTCTTTGTGCTGTGGAAGAATGGCGTCGAACCAGCAAGCCCAGCAACCTGTGATGTTTCACCTCGAACCAGCCTCAGCCTTGAACCTGTTCCTGGCACGCCATGCCACGCCATTGTGAGAAGACCTGGAAAAAATGAAATCTGATCCTCCAGCTGCATGCCAAAGGACTCCAGCAGCAGCTCGACGTCCTGATGATCAGAGACCTGGGCATTCGGTGTTTCTCGTTGTCTTGACAACCAACTCTCCATCCCATTCCGCCCTGACAATGGTCATCCACCAGCCAGGCAGATCAGGATACAAGCCTCAAAGTTTCAGGTGGGTAAGTTGGTTGGTTGGTTGGTAGGTTCGTAGGTTGGTAGGGTGTTTGCTTGCTTGTTTTTTGTTTGTTTGGTTGATTGCGTGCTTGTTTGCTTGCTTGTCTGTTTGTTTGCTTGCTTGTTTGCTTGCTTGCTTGTTTGCTTGCTTGCTTGTTTGCTTGCTTGCTTGCTCGCTTGCTTGCTTGGTTGTTTGCTCGCTTGGCGGCGTGCAGGCTATCATCCTTGACTGCACTGTCCTCTTCCGTGGCGGGTGCCGGAGATAATCAAGCATGAAAAAAGATGTTGACACACTTCACCGTCAAAAGGGCCAAAAAAGAAACGGCCAGCTGTCATCCGCAGAGCCACTGCAACGGCATGTTACAACGACGGGAGCTTCACCAGCAAACCATGGTCTCCTCGTTCTCCTCTCCTCTCCTTCTCCTTTCCTTCTCTTCTCTTC